AATGTGTTCGTAATAACACAGTTTGAGACTCAATTAAATTTAATTCTCTATACTTACTATTTCAATACGTCTATGTAGTCTTAAAAATAACGTCAAATATCAAAAAAGATGGAGTTCAAAGCCTAATATAATCTAAAACAATATAACATTAAAGTACTTTATTAGAAACGCCAAACACTATAGCACTGTGCTCGGTCGTAAGTAAAACGAGAGCTTATACCCGGCAACGCGCACCTTTACGTGACGAGTTACTTCCACCCACAGCACTTAGGTAATAAAACAAGAAAGTAGTTTTAAGTAAGCCCGCGACAGCCGTTGCGGTCCCTTATTACCCGCTACAAAACCCTCCTTATTACACGAGACAAACAACTTATTCGTTTCAAATTGAAAACTTTCCGCCCCACCAGCCATATAGGGGCTGCGGCCCATAAATTCCCGCCAATTTTGTTTTATTTCGCCATGCAGGCACGGTAATAAAAGTAAGCTGGACGTGAGACAAAGCCTCCAGTCGGGATTACTCGGCCATCGGAATGGATCACTGCTTCCCGTGATATGGTGTCCACACAACGGCACCTGACTAACCGAACTCAACTTTGTAAAGCGCTAAATATATAATTTAATCCTTTTTTAAAGTTTCAAGCGAATTTAATAACGAAACTTAAGTGACATTGTTTGTGCCTTCATGAGATGAGTTATACCCATAAATGGCGTGACGAAGTTATTGTGACATGTGTTCGTGTGTGATGTGTTTTCGGTGTAAGAGTTAATATTCTCACGTGATACACGACGCGACATTCTAAACTAGCAAAATTACTTGCTTACCTAGAGGACAGGTGCATGCTACTGGCTACTGGAGTGTCTCCAATCTCATCAGTGCTATTGTTTGCAATATTGGCGATGAGGCCACATGTGTGATCTTCAATGCAGGCTCTTTGTTCTAGTGTTTCGTGTACAAAACGTGTCGTGTAAGCACAAGTGCTAGATTCGTTCCAAAGTGCTATTATTTCTTTTATTTACGACGGCAGCGCACATTTCGTTTTATTCCACAAAATTCTTTTTTCGATTTCACTCTTAAAGGGGACAGTTTATTTTCTATACGAGAAAAGATCCGAACTAAGACTACAAACTTTCACGACGCAGCAAACACCGCAGCCTTAATGAAGTGTGTCCAGTACTAGTGGGGAGCGACACAATCAAACGACAGGTGGAGGAGAGTTATTTTCACGGGGCTCAGAGTAATATGATCGTGTAAAACCATATATTACTTTCGGATACGAATCATATGAAAACAACCTTATATAATAAAGTATACATATAATATAACACATATTAACAAGCGACTATAGCAATGAAGGGTGCGTTTCGGACTGCAAACATTTATCATGGCCGGTGTTACAAAATCGTTTGAATATTACGCCCTAAATACATTGGAAAAATAACATCGGATATAAAGAGAGTAACATAACAATTTTAGAAAACCTCGAACCAATGCTTTCGCTAATTATTGGAAGATAAATATTTGTAAAGGGAACATTTTCTGTTAAGCTCCTTGATAAAATATTTGAAATAAACCTTTATAAAACGGCTAGGAAAGGAGAACTAAAACAATAAACCCGCAAATACGTAATGTGCGACAAGAAAGAGCGTGGAAGCCAATTAATTTTTGCTGAGACCACGGTTTATGTTTTCCCGGATAAATAAGGAGATTTAGCAGCGGCGCCCGGGGCCGCCTCATAAAATGGCTGGCTCGTAACAGAACCTGACCGGTTCCCCAACTAGCGTTTCTCGATAAAACCTTGTGGAAATTAAATTTTCCTCATAATTAACAACGGCTCACACAAACTTCTACTGGCTCCAACTATTACGATATTTTCACAAAATATCTGTCCGTCGTCCATCTAACATGCGTATGCTGACAAACGAAACTGAACCAATTCCATATTGGCAACGTTGAGTTGTGTTACATTGAAAATATATATTCTATGCACATTTATTGTGCAAACATTGAAGAGGCTATAAAAACAGGATAACGTGTCCGTTGCACGAATCGCATCGCGGGGTAAATGCCATCGTGCTGCATTTTATTTCGCAACGGAGGCGTATAGGATGGGCGATGACTAAATAATGACCGGGATAACGCAGTTTTATTGCCGCCTCCGTGTTGCGAATATATAAATGAACCCTCGAGGGAGTGTTAAAGACGCCGCCAAAGAACTCCTGTCGAAACAAGTTGGGCTCGGAGAAATGGCGCAGTAAACCTCCCCATCCGCCGAGACATCATTTTGCGTTCTGTACAGTATTACTGTCCGGGAAAAAAAATAATAGGAACGGAATATTTTAAGGAAGGTCGCGAGGTTATGAATTTTTAGATCTCGAATATTACTAGTAACGAATGATCCCTTTAGTGCGTGTCATCATTCATTAAATACTGCAACGATGACCTGATGAACGTAATGGGTAGTTTACCTTTCTCTTGCGATTAACACACGAGTTCAATCCGGATTAATGAAAATATATTTGGTACTGAATATAGTCTTTGTATCTGTATTAGTTTACAAAAAAAAACTTACCTATATCAAAGTATGTTTATCAGTTACCTTACACCCAGAGTACAAAATTATCTTATTTAAACATGTTATTAACATAAGAACGTAACGTGCTTCTCTTTAACGAATAATCACGTCTTTTAATTCGTAAGATGGTATTGAAATTTTGTTATTAACTCAACAATTGCACGCTGCCGTTTCAAATCCTTCCCCACGTTAAAATATTAAAACTTTAATTGTATTCCGGCGCCCGACTCCATGGCCGTAAAGAAGCCAACGAGGCGCTCCTTTGATACACTATTAATGCAATTGTTCGAAAACAGTGCGAGGCAATAAAATTTAACCTTCAGGTAGAATATTCCGCCCTACTTCACCCCTCAGCTATAATTTTTCGCATTGCGGATTTTGAGCAAACGCGTTTCGTATTCGTTTTACATTCGTATTATACACGAATAAGAGGTTCAGTTAATAAATTACAGCTCTGAAAATAAAGTAACAAAAAATATAAATCTAACGATATTATGCCATAGGTAAACGGCATACGAGTACAATATTTATACATTAAAGTTAAAAAAATGTTCTTTAATTTAACGTATTATTTTTCAACGTCATAATCTTATCCAATTATTGAGTTATAGTTGTATAAATTGGTAAAAGCTATTTTTTATAACTTGTACTTTACAACTAACACCATACCACACATTTCAGTATATATGTCTTATCTTTGATATCATACCAAAATTGGTTCTGCGATTTTTGCGATGATTGTTAAACTCTTTGAATTGATCATTCTGATCAATTCAGAGAGATTAACAATCCTTTAGGCAACTCAAATAACATTTAAAAATCCATTTCACAACTGGTTAGTTGACTTCTACGATGATCAGTGTTTCAGAAACCAAGCATCAGTAGTGAAGGCGTAACAGACAAAGTTACTTTATACTTGTTACTTTATAAATTATAGCCTATATGTTACGCTGATGTCTAAGCTATATTATTGTACTTTCATTAAAATCCATTGAGTAGTTTTTTCGTTGAAAAAGTAACAAACATCCATACATAAAAACTTTCGTGTTTATAATTTTAGTAAAGGTAAACTGATAGGGCCACGCAACAATATTCACTGTTGAACGAATGGGCAGGTCCGACCGGGAAAATACCACGTCCTCACAGAAGACCGGTGTACAGTGGAAGTATTTTATTTTATTTTATTTATGCTTCTGCGTATCGTTTTGTGATTGAGGTTGCAGGGTCCCACTTTATTAAGAGGTGGCAACGGATCTGCAACAACCCTACGGGTGTTACAGATGTCAATGGGTGACGATTATCATTTAATATCAGATGAACCGCCAGCTCGCATGCCAGTATGTCATATAAAAAATAAAAGCAAAATACATACTCTATAGAATAATCATAATATTAAACTTTATAATTTAAAAAAGAAACACTTCAAAGATTACGAGCGAAACTATAACACTTGCGCAACAAATCTTATTTCAAAACTACACTGTGTTTACAACGGGCATAAAAGCTTACAAAATAAATGACACATCCCTTTGAATTTTATTCAAGTGGCAACACATAGAACTCAGCTAGCATAGACAGGTTAAACGAGGGCCGAATGCAGAAACTACGTAAGTCTGAAATGCAAATTGCAAATGCACTTGAGACGTCACAGTCTCTCACTAAGAAATCTAAAATTCTACTGTTGCCTGAAATAAAATATATTTGCCGTTGTCTAAAATCCATGCGGTTGTCGCCTTGCAATACTTCTGTCGTCCAATGTTTTATTACCATTAACTTGTCAAACCTCTCACCTTTGTATGCTAATATGTCGAAGAATAAGAAATTGATTAATATAGGAATAGAATTTTTAGATTAAAACTACATGAAGCATTAAAAATGGGGGGAAAATTATAAAATAAAGGATTTAGTAACTTGCATATTTATTACTAATAATATTACCTGTAATGTGAGCTTTCGTCATTTAGGTGATCTATTTAAAGCTACCAGACTATTTACAGAGCTCCAAAACATAACAAAATACGGTGCGTAACATAATGACTGTAATTACTCTAGTAAAAGTAATACCTAATTAAATTTTATCACATTTCTTTAAGATATCAATAAATTTATACTAACATTATATAAATCAACTTTGTTATAACATGCTCAAGTTCAACTTAATACAAATAAACAATATAACCTACAATTTATTTTAAATCGTTAATATTTTATCGGAAGCAATAAAGTTTGCTATTTTAGTTAGGTTCAATAAAACATCTTTGGAAGTAGGTAGCGCCCAACGCTCATGTCATGTATCCGTAATATCGCATTATTGAAAATGCATCCGTCGAGTAAGAAATTTCGTATTCTACTCCGATATGGATCACGCGAAAGTTGTTGCGTTTACATTACGAATATTTTTGTACGAATGCAGCGCGGTGATGTTCACTCGCAATACCATGTAGTCCTCCTTATTTTCTTCTCACCAGATCGACGAACTTCACCCGGCACCCCGCGAAGGGAATTATCTGAAACCAAGAGGAATATAAACTTCAATTTTACAAGTTTCCAGGCGATAATAACGCATTAAGCGCAAATTAAGAGTTGCTATCTCGTTAACTAAAAACTATTTTTAATTTTATAAGATATAGTAAAGTTCAATTACAGCATGCACTGCTTTGTAACCAAATATCAGTTGGTAAGCATGTTATTTTGTTAACTAGTTTCAGCATATAATTCTTTAAATACTTTTTAGTAGTAAGTTTATAATCCAAATGTCAAACTTGTTGAAAAAAAATAGTCGACGAACGATACATTTTTTTAAATAAACTAATAATTACAACAAAAGCACGACATCCCCAATAATTAACTGTTAAAACTTTAATGTACCTACACCACGAACAAAATTATAAATGAAAATCAAATTATTAGATGTAAATAATTCATGGTACTAACATAAATTCGTTGGTGTTATTTTATCAATTTACATAATAAATATGTTTTATATTAATATAGTTGATTTTATTATAGTTTTGTTGCAGTAAAGTAAACTTATTTATGTTTATTATATTACATTGTAAAAACAGCACTTTTAATAAATATATAATTACTGTACTACAACAAAAGTATAAAACGTTTTTGTAGATTGGTATTAATTAAGATAGGTGGTAACTCTTAACTTATAACGGTCAACGCTATACATACACTGATGAAATAAAACTAAAGATACATAAAATAGATGGCGCCAAACAATCACAGGATGCAGAGAACAAAGCCAGCCCGGGAAAAGAAGAACCAATGTGAAATTAAGCTTGAACGAGTCTATAGTACTGACCTAAATCAATGATGTAATGTCACGAATACGAAACCATCTAACAGACCTGGAGAAAGATGTTATTTTTTTCTTTTAAACTATTTCACAAATACAACAGAGTGGTTAATTAGAGCAGGTGCAAATCTGTACATCTTAGCTCAGTTCAAAACAATCGAGGATAATGTTTCGATGTTGGAATGAAGCTTACATTTGTCATCGCTTCTTTCGGTTTCCGACGATTCTTGGCTGTTCATTGAAACCATTGATACTCTCTTATTTCGCTGCTGGAGAAGAAGTTCTGGAACGAAAAAGAAAAGTAGACTGATAAAAGTCATTAGGAATTCAGAATTTATAAAAAACTGAACATAATTTTGAATCACAATCATATGCATGTTAATCTTCAAGCGGATCGTAAACGACTAAATTGTACTAAAGTATTTTTCCGTCTTTTTGATAAATTTAAAATCAAACTGAACACATACGAATTTTTATGTAATGTTAATTTGAGTGTAATAGATAATTGTTGAAAAATATTTGGTTTATAGTATAATATATAATATTGGGTTTATAGTAATAGTAAAAAAATATTTGTAAAAGGATTCGAATCTGTGTGTTCTGATTAACGCGCCCAGACGCTCTTTCCACCTCAAATAATCCTCCAAAATCCTCATGGCGTGAAAATCTCGACAATTTTATAGTTAATATGATCATTTTTGATTTTATTGCGTGTGAGCGACTTTACAATATACAGACACCCAATTAACGTTTTATATATATTTGCAGTTACTCTTCTTTTGGTGCGTTTGGATAAAATTATGAGAGTAAAATTTTATGATACGCGCAAACCGACAGTAAATAATCGGCATGACGAAGTTGGTTGCAAAGCGGTTAACTTTATTGTATTACCACGGGAATCATAACAACTTGTTGACACCATTAGCTATAATTCAAAATTATTTAAATAACCAGTGATCAACAGTAGCCAAGCACCAGAAAATGTATAAGTAGTTCTTTTTTTTTAAGTGATACTTCTTTATCGCGCTTGGAAAAAATTATGAGAGTGAAATTTTAAAGACGGCTCGCACACCGACTTTCAAAAAGCGACATGAGGAAATTGGTTGCTTTGGCCTGATTGCCATGGTAGCTAATACCGTGAAGTTGGTTGCTTATTACAATGGCAACCAATAACAACTTTTTACCATTTAAAGTAACAGCCTATACATGTCCCACTGCTGGGCAAAGGCCTCCTCTATACAGGGGGTATCAGGGCATAGTCCACCACGCGGCCCCACTGCGGATTGGCGGACTTCACATATTTTCGAAATATATTTTTTTTGTTATTATTTCGAAAATATGCAGGTTTCCTCACGATGTTTTCCTTCACCGCGGAGCACGTGATAAGTCAGCACTTAAAGTTAAAAACTTCATTGGTGTCGGCACCGGGGATTGAACTCAGGTTGCTCGAGTATATTGAATTAAAGGCGAGCGCCCGGACACTGAGCTATCACGGCTCTTTACCGTTTACCTAACCTATAATCCAGTTATTTAAATAAACCGTTATCTAGTGAATTTAATGTCGTTTTCACCGAGAGTAGTATCACTGGGGATAACATTTTTAGTTATTTTACTTTTGTTGCGTTAAGAATTTTATTACTTTAAAAAAATTTTTTGTTAGCATAAAGAAGTATAACTTCTTACGTGCTTACAAAGCACACACATTTTTGAATTTATACTTCTTTAGACGCGTTATGAAAAAATGATGAGAGTGAAATTTTAAGATGCGTGCGCATCACTATGACACGAAAGTTACACCTTTGAAGCTGCCCGCTAAACCGCTTATTTTTTATAGATGACAGCATTATCTCTATCACATTCGTCCGTTACAGTTCTCAATAAAGAATGTAGATGGCGCTTTCATTTTTTTATTATATTTATCATTTAAATCCTTTTCCAGTCTTTTATTATTTTATTGTAATTAAAAACTATTTTTTTAATGATGCCTAACAAGTGCAACTTCTCACGCGCACACATAAGTAGACGCACCCATTTTTTTTAATGCTAATCTCTTATAATTATATTTCTTCAAACAAAAGCAAGGGCGTAACATTTCATATATTATCTTGTCGAGGCCTTACCTCGCTGACTACGTAAACTGATTAAATCCTAACTGATAAATACTTTCAACAAAGAAACTAAACTTGTTCTATTAAGTTTAATGTGAGTCAGTTTTAAAAGCAGTTTTGTAATACAATTACTTTTAGTTGTTAGTATTTACCTGATTTATATTTGATATTGAACACGCCACACTGTTTCACAAAATTGATCTAATATTATTAAATAATGATTTATTTTTTATTTTTACATCAAATAACGTAAAATTTTTACAATAGAAACTAAATTTAAAAGCGGAAAAGGTAAAATATATAAACGATAACAAATGAAGCACTAACGTACATTAATAACAATTATCGCCCATCCCTGAATTTCGTTAGAGACTTCGTAAATTGAGTAGAGCATTATCGAGCGGGCTACAGTTGACAATTTGAAACATAATATTGATAGCAGTCTACCGATGTTAACGTTTCCAACTGCAGTTATTGTTAGGAAACTATCTTATTGCTGCAACATCAAAACAATTTCAATATAACCGCTTCCAATAAATCTAATATATAGCTTAACAAACGATAACGTCGGAGTAATGACAGCGGCGGAGTAGTGAGGCGCCAATGTCAGCATTAAAGACATGACATATGAATCTGGGATAGTTATCTCAGCGTCGATATAGCACGAATGTGGAACGCTATTCGTTAAACAAAGCCCATTCACGTATTTGAGGAAAAGGCAATTGTCGCTTAATAGGGTTGTCGTAACAAAGGAACGTTGCTAAAAAGATTTATACAGCAGTTTACGCTTATCGATTTGATCTCGCGAGAATGTGGCATTGTTACGCCGAGAGTTGGGAACGATCGCACTTTCGCCGTTACGCTCCTTCGAGGCTTTTCCAGCAAAATTTTCCTAAAGCCTTTTTTAAACAGCCGCTTAACTTCAAAGAAGCGGGTCGGATTTGTCTGCTTTTGCATTTATATGCCGACTTAAGACGCATAATAATTCCGTATGCTTTATTTCCGTCGTGTAAGACACGTGATCATAGTGAAATGTAGGCCACAAAGGTAGAAGTCTGCCGTAGATTTATATCGATAAGAGGTAGATCGATATTGTTATTATCGTGTTATTACGCTAAAAATAGGATCTGTATTGATATAGATTTGAAGGAGGTCGATTGCCATGTTCCCACAGATACGTTCCGCGCATACGCTGCACATGCAAGTCGTATGGCCAATACGGCCCAGTCATCGACCCCGCGTGCGTCAGCCGGCGATGTTCTTTATCGTGCGCCCTTCCGTCACGTACTAAGATGGGGAGCAGATGACGGTCAATTAAAAAGTTTGCCCGTATTAACTATGCGGGAATTGCTTGAGGCCCCGAGACAAATGAACTGAACAGACGTCCGAACCGAACGCTTCAATAGTTCCGCCTATTTCATTTGTAAGGAACAACACCATGGACGTAAACATAAAAATTCCCCGACGTCTCCACCCTCGTCGAGGTGTTTTCAAAACAAACGTTTCACAATATATTCATTACAAATAGCGGCGACATTATTGCTTAAACAATTGTGTAATTTTATAGAATAAATTATTACTATTTCTATTCATTCGTACAATAACGTTTCAATATTAACGTCAATGATCAATTTTTTTAACATACAAGGAAAGTTATTAGGTAGAAAAAAAATTAATAGTACCACACAAGACTGCCATTGTATATACTACAAAACAATTTTTTTTTCGTGTTTTAAGGTAAACCAAACCAAAATTTACCAATTCGGCATGCTCAACACAAAGCTACACAGATAAAAAGAAAACATATCACATATCATATATATATCATGGCACACTGCCTTGTGAAGCCATCAAGTCCCATTTCGCTGACAGTTTATAATTGAATACTTCCTGTCGCTTCCCTCTTCATTCATTAAATTGACAACTAAATCGCATAAAATTTTATTAAACGATGAATAGTACCTAATCTATGTTAATATACTCCAATAATGGTATAGTATACATATAATAGTAGTCATTCCACTTGAAGAACATAATAATTTTTTTTTATTTTTTCTTTCACGGACGCCTTAAATGAACTAATGATTTAACATAAGAAAAAACGGGTAACGTTATTGACAAATGCAGCTTTATTACGCATAACAGTAACAAAGTAATGAAAATGCATCGTAGAAATCCTTCTTTATCGTGATGATGCAATCAAATGCTGATTGTGAACGCTGAAAGAATTCTGAATACAGCTAAGTTGTAGTATAACCGTAGCTTATTCTTTTCAAATAAGGATAATAGTATGCCTATTTTACTCCTACTGAAAGATTCCAGAACTAAGTAGATACCAACTGCTGCCAATTCTTAATTTATTAAGTTATAAGTAGGTTAATGTTTAGTCTATAATTCGGTCATTCTGGTTACGTGTACCTGTATATCACATCGCATACTATTGAGGTTAATATACTGTCAAACCGACATTAAATTGTGGACAGTCATGAACGATGTTGAAAGTAATATAATACGAGTTAAAGCCAGTAACAAGAAATGTAAGTGTACACGATATGACAGTTTTAATTTTCTATAGTGTTGTAGTCTGCTGCCAATCCAATAGATCGAGCAGCCGATAGAAAATCGCAGAAATTATTATTTTCCAATTCGAATTGAATGAGACTATAGGAATAAAGCCGAAAAATAACATAAGCTTACCTTTCTTCTGCATCGCTTGTTCCCAAAGCAGAGACGTTATCTCCTCGACCCACGAGTTCCTCACTTCAGGTACTCTAGTCTCCAATTTGTATGATTTCAAGTTTCGCTTCTTATACCAAATCGTGAACTTGTGCTGGTCGTGCTCCTTCGCCGTAATGCCAAGATCATCGACGGGAATGTGATCCTTGTATATAAAAAACTCCACTGTCAGTTGCTGAAATTAGTAATTGATTTAATATAGGACATTGTTGCGTAAATGTTGCTTATTCAACATGTTATATCATTTGGATATTAAATATTTTATATCGTTTAGACAGTATAGAAAAAGATATAGTAAAATATTTTTTTTTATGAGGCAAGCACGCCGGCGGTTCATCTAATCTTAAGTGATAAACGCTGCCATGGAAATTTCTTAACTCCCGTGAGGTTGCAGATTTGTTACCACGTTTTAACAAAGCGGGCCCCGGTTACCTCACTTAACAGACGAAACAGGGAAGTATATAGAAACAATTCCGCTTCACGCCGGTCTTCTGTGAGGTGATGGTATTCGCCGAACGGACCTACCCATTTGTGCAACAGCGAAAAGACTTACGTGATTTTACCACAGTCAGTTTTCTTTATTTTGATATTTAACGTATAAAAATAATTTAGGACAAAAGACAAGAATAATATAATACGAGCCTGCAAAGAAAAGTCAATACTTTTTAATATTTAAACAATTGCCTAAACGTAATAGGACTATGCTATGTATATACGTGTTTGGTGATAAAACATCTTAAATTTATAAATCGTATAATTTCTTGTTATTACGATTAGATATGACAGAAAAATAAAAAAACTCATATTTGCTATTATCCGTTCATCGTTTGCTTCAACCAAGATATACAATTAAATCGAAATTTCTAGAGGATCACTAGTGCAGAAAAAAAAGCGTCGAGCGCTACTTACTTTAAGACATGTTGTCTTAATTAGAAATATTTTAATTTGTGACGGCAATCCGGATGTCCGAGAGAATCCAAGGTAAAAGCCGACGAATGCAACGTCTTTAGTTGGTAATTGTAAATAAAAGAGTACAAAATAACAACACACGCTACATATGGCACGTATTCATGCATTGTATCGCGACTAACATAATTTACAAACAATGGCGATTTTACCTGGCTGCGTTACGTGTTTCCCGTGACATCAAACAGTAAGCCCGTCGATGCGTGTTAATTAGTCGTTCCATAACATTGACAAGGCCGTTTCCCGCCAGTTTACGAACTCAAAACTGAAGCTATCACAATTTGTTTACAAACGCTTCTTGCGTGAAATATTTATTGATGAAGTTGGGTGATTATTTTTTTTTTAATAGCAAAGAGCACGATATGAACGCCATCCGAAGTTATAGCTAACGAATATTAATTTTTTTTTTTTTTTTTTTATTTATCAATGGTTTCAAACTTAAAATTATTATTAAAAAAACATTTTACTAAAGACTTACTTACTGATGGAAAATTCGTACAATAATATTAATATTCCTTATCACCAGCATAATCGTATCAACAGCAAAAAAAGTCCGACTTAATGAACGCGCGGGAAAACCAGAACGAGTGTACACACTAAAATTCAGATACCAGTAGCATCGAGAATTTAACAGCGTTTCGCTTTAGCACAATGTACAGACTTTTCGAAGTTCCGACGCGCCTTCTGAAAACGGCTCATCCTTAATGCGAAGTGCTTACTTACTACAATAAACTTCCTCCGATAAGGAACGATTCGCTAACAGGGTTAAATAGTTTGCGTAGTAGATAAGTGGGTCGCTGGTTGTCAGTTACGGCCCCGTCTAAGAAATCAGCTGGCGACGGCTGAGCGACGCGTTCTCGTAATAAACTACCCTCGCAATATCCTTCGATGTTCCATTGTGCGCAAAATTATGTGGATACTCAGAAGTTATTAATATACTAAATTTCCATATATTTACCATACATTTGTATATCCAAATAAAAGTCCTGTCCAAAACAGATCCAGAGAGATCGGTATAACCCAAAAAACCCACCAATTAAGTTAAAGCACAGCCGCGAAAATTTTTCATTCATTTTTTCTATAAAATTTTTAATTTATTTCACCTATTACCACTTAATCGAAAAAACTTACTAAGAGAATAATAATAATAATTAATATAAAATCCTTAAGATACCACGTTAAATACCATGTGTATTGTTTCCAATTCGAAGTGTTTATGTTGTATGCGATTTTATTATGACTGTAAGAGGACAAAAATACATATGTTTATAAATTTTTACCACAAGTAATAGTATCGTAAGAAAGGCAATTTGTTAGATCCTAAATAAAGGGTACCATTAACCAATTCAAATATAATGTCTCATAGGCAAATGTTATATAATTTTGAAGTTATAATATTTTTGGTATTACATAAATACAATTTATTTCGTCTCTACCGAAAAGTCTATTTTGTGGGCATTAGAAAATAATTATTAATTTACATAATAACACAAAACCGATAACAGAGCCGAAATAGAAAGAAAATTTTTTTATATATTTTTTCATAATATTCAAGCGGTTAACTAATTTTCCTTTACTTTTTTACGCCAATTTAATAATGCTTAAAATGTTTATATAAAAAAAATGTAAGTAAGTATACGTTCGTAGGTACGTTTAGTCAACAATATGTATCGTCTATTAAACTAACAATTAACACATAATATATTTTAATGTATTAAACTTATATTCATCATGATGTTCAGAGGATACTTATTGGTCGTATGTCACATATCATAACAGTAGCAAGAGATCATACGCTTTAGGGCAAGGTGGCGTACAACCCCGGGTTTTAATTTCTGAACTTAATTTTTATTTAAAAAATTAATTAAGCCGATTTATTTATTTTTATTCCCACAGGAGTGTTACCAGGATAAACTACGTTTAAAAACTTTGATATAAGTAAACAGAGCAAAGAAACATTCAAGACGAAAAAACATTATTATTCGAGAATATGTGAAGTCTGCTTGAGTGGCGTCGCTTGACGGACTATGCCCTAATACCTTCTGTACAGTGGAGCTCGTTGCCCAGCACTTAGTAACAATAAATAAACAGTTACGCACGTTACATAACTTGCCCATTGGCGTATCTAGGGCTATTTTTCAGGGTGGGCCTGGGCCCTTACTACATAAAAAATCGAACACTGTAGAACTGTTAAACAACGCAACGAATTTTAATGCGATTTTCAGCAATAGATATTATTCAAGTGGAAGGTTTACATGTTTACTGATGACTCCGTGGCGCAGTTGTCAAGGTATTGGCTTAGGCGTCGCAAGTCGTGGGTTCGATTCCCACACGGGACAATTACTTGTGCGACCCACAGATAGTTGTTTCGCATCTGGATGTTTATCCTCGTGCAATTTATGTTTGTAAAACGTCCTTACAACACAGGATAATAAATTATCCTAAAGTGAGGGCAAAGTTTTTAAAAAAGAAATAAAATAAAAGTATATATGCATATTATAGTAGAGAAATTTCGAGAAATTCAATATCTACATTGCACCTCGCTCGCCTCGCTCGGCTTCAATCTGCTTTTGGCGATGAAGTATAGGTGTCCAGCCTAGAATTTCGAATCGGTAACCCAAAATCCTGGGGTGGGCACTAGACCATACTGGGGTGGGCACGGGCCACCCGGCCCCCCCGCTATATACGCCTATGAACTTGCCTCTGCTGTTGCATGGGCAAACTCATTCCAGGGAGTACCGCAGAAGACCGGCGTCAAGTGGAAGTAATACTTTCGCGTTTCGTCTAGAACTTTAGTGAGTGAAAAAATTGGGGCCTACTTTTAAGATTAGCAACGAATACTCGATATTGTTTTTCTGGATTGTCTCCACCGGAGGACGATTAACAGCAGCTCGACCACATAGTCGTGTTTGTAACGCGTAACACATTTTTATAAAATTTACTAGCTGCTGCCCGCGACTACGTCTGCGTAGGGGGGTGAAAATTTAGGATTGTATGTATTTTTGTATGCTGTATCATAAAAAATAAAAACAGAAAATTTTATATAAAAATAAAAAAAAATTGGGTCTTAACATTTAGGGGGATGAAAAATACATGTTGTCCGATTCTCCACAAAAATTCACGAAAATCGGTCGAGCCGTTTCGGAGGAGTTCAATTACTAACACCGTGACACGAGAATTCTATATATTAGATAACGTAATTGTGAGTGGCGCTTCCCTTCATTATTTGCAACATTCTCTTATCGTCCCGACAGTAGGCACAGACTGTGGTCAATAGGACAATGTTAAAATAAAACATTTATGTTTTTATTGCAGTAGGATACACATGACTCATTACACTAATGATTCATCGTTAATAAATGAACGCAATGTCTGATAATATACTTATTACCCGACTGCGCCAGAAGGAGGGTTATGTTTTTAATAACCTATTGCCGATAAATTTCGTAAACTCATAAACGAAAATGTCTTATAAATAACTGTTTATTATTAGTGTATCTTGTAAAGTGGATAATATTTATTTTATAGTTTTGTATCAGTTACAAATTTAAAGTAGAGAATCTTCGTTGGAAAGGTAAACTATCATTCCGAATAGACTCAAAATATTTCTCAATTGAATGAAAACGTTTTGGGACCATAAAAGTACGTTCTAATATCGTAATAACAACAATACCACAGAAATAGGTTTTTCTAAGTTTAGTAACGTCATCGTTGAGTGAGACAGTCCAATAATACTTATAAAATTAACACTATTTATTTTTTAATTTTGGAATAAATAATGGCATTTTTATTAATAATTACAATACACGTAACCGTATTGTGTGAAGTTCGATAATAATTATACACATTAGGAATGGATAATATAATTTATATGACATTTAATAGATGGCACTTTGCATAATAAAAGCATAATTTGTGTACTAATATAATTATACTAAGTATAGATATGTTATAATAACCGCGTTCAGAAAACAATTAGCATGCTACTGACATTAAACTAATTAATTTAAATACGTTAATATCTTTGATAATTAAACCACTGGAAAAAAAGTGAAAATTCCAAGAGCCACTAAATGCTTAAGCCGAATGGCACAGATTTTGAGTATATGTATATCATTTCTGTATGTTAATGCGTTATACGTCACGTCACTGACCTTCCTGTACACCGCTGTGATGAGCACAAGCTTGTCAAATAGAAATATCCTCATGAGCTGCCTCCGCCGCCTAGCGCTGTCCATCGCGTAAAACTCGTTTTGCCGCAGTAGCCGTCCTTGGTTAAGTAAATTTAAATGAGGCTGCAATGGCAAACAATACAATTCAGTGGCGGCCGCATTGACAACTTTGGTCATGCATCAAACTCGCACAGATTTTCCACAGTGCATAAATTAATGACGATGCAATACTGGTAAATTGGAATTTATAAATAGAAATGCTTTCCATTATTGAATCCAAAACCGAAATCGGAACAGAAAAGATTGTTCAAATGTACGTTTCCTAAAATTATAACGTCGTCCTTGTAAATACAGTGATAAGACAATGTAAATCCACATATTTTATTATTATTTCTCGTAAGCCGTTATCTAGTATTGTTCGCGATAATATACCTATCACAATGAATATGCGGTAGGTATGCTTCAATTTTACAGACTATTTCCACTTACTGGTGTACATGATAAAACTCACCGGGCAGTCTCTGATATTCTCCAACGCCATAATGCCATCAACCGCCGTTAGAACGCACTCGACCATAGTCTTCGCTAGCTTCAAACTTTCCAAAGGCGTTTCGTCACTGTCGGAAGACTCTCCATTACTTCCACCCGTTTCGTCACTGTCAACACTCAGTTTCGATATTCTGGAGTCCGATTCACACCTTTCACTCTCGTAATTTGTATAGGTTTTCACAAGGTCGTCCAAAAAGAGTTTGTAGCGTGGTATCCTTTGCACCGGCTCTAACAGGTAACTGGATAGATCCAATCTATCACCTAATTCTAATTGCCTCGCCTGAAAAAAAAAACATTGATTCAATCTCAATCATTATTAAGAAACAGTATACTATATAAAAGTATTAATTTATATTAATTGCACATTCTAAACTTTAAAGCAGTGAAACGATGTCTTCGGTGACATCGCTTCTATAGATTAATTTATTAATTCTCTTAAAAAGTAAAAGTAACAGCCTTTACATGTCCCACTGCTGGGCAAAGGCCTCCTCTATACAGAGGGTTCTGTATAGAGGAGTGTAATTCTCTTAGGTTACATGAAATTAAGATTGAGTGAAATGTGATCATGAGAAAGAAACCGGATTACTGGTTCTGAATTATTCGAATAAGTAGACTGTAAAGTGTTTTTTGCTAATAAATAGATCGAGACGAGATGATACGTGAACTTTCACTCATCTTTATTGCAGGCATGGGATAGTTTAGCTGGAATTCGAATTTAATTGTTCCTAAAGGTAGCTAAAGCCCGAGTTAAAAATATTTTCGAGCCAAACTTGAAAAGGATAGTATAATTTGAAAATGTGTGAAAACAAAAGCGAAGGCCGGGAAAGTAATAAGACCGTAGTCGGCTCAAGTTGATGTTCAAAGTTTCAGTTACGTTATTAGAGTGTAGGCAAGATGTGCATGAGTAACGGTTCTCCAACAGTGAGGCGTTTGTTCGGCCGCACTTGCGATTCCGTCCGTGGTTACACAAATGAGGAAATAATACCGGGCACGCACCACCTCCGCTGATGTAAGCTACTTGCGAGGACCCGATAATGCGAGCGATCAATTCCGTTTTTATGACGAGATTTACCCGCGGCGCTGTACCAGACTACGGCAGTTATTGACGACAGCTGCTTTACGTTTCAAACAATCGGCACACGAGATGAGGTAATATTTGCTTTTTTTCTCCATGGAACAAGATTTATGTGTCGGTATAACAATGCATGTTGTGTATGTTATGCATGTCAAGAGAGATTTCCCACAATAGCCTCGTTACCGTTTCCTAGCAATTATACTAAATTTATAATAGCGTTATTATGTGAATACGTAGTGTGTTTTAATTTGCTATTGGAAAATATGCTTGTATTATTCACAAAAATGGCTGAAAATTACGACAAACTGACACAAATTCACTGTGATTGTCTCCAAGACAGCAAAACCTGACACGAATCAAGGTTTTCCTCGCGCCAAACGTGTGTAATAATCCTGTACTTAATGGCCGATTTGTTTTTACTATATTTTGAATGTAATTCAGTTATTTACATCACGTGTGCTACATTGTGACATTGAAACCCAAACGAAATGAAACTAGTGAGTTCTCTCGTTTATTATAACAAAAAAAAGCAATCTGTAGCAAAATTTTTTTAATGATAATATATTATTCTCGTATACCAACAACATACACCGCTTAGCAAAACAAATGGGTATTACCTTACAAAACTATAAACACATACCTGGAAAAATTGCTTGTGTTCATAAACCAGTCTCGTAGCTCTCTTATTATTTCTAGAATACATTACATACATGTTAAACCTCTGCTCCTATTGACAAAAGAAAATTAATTGGATAAAGTCATGTCATTTAGAAACATTAACACCCGGTTTCTGAAACGCTGATAATCAAAAGGATGCTTAAACACTTTAAATTGAATGATCTTCTTAATGATCAGAATGGTCAATTCAACGAGTTTAACAATCTATTTGAAATCGTGGATCAGTGTTTCAGAAACCGGGCGTGAATGTGTAGGTCAGTCTGTAATCGCTCGGGACATATTGAACGTTAGTACGTTATAATAATTATCCCCTGCTTACCAATAAATGCTGTAACTAATGGGTTATTTTATAAAATGTTAATCATAAACAAATTTCCAATGAACAAGGGTACCCTTCAATTATCATTAAATATTGAAAAATAGTTAACAGCCAACTAAATCCCCAAACAAAAAGCTACTGAATTTGGAAACAATGTAATTCACGCACAATTTTCTGTATTGTTTGATCCGCAAATTTACTTCAATTACAACCCTTTTTGTCTATACCTAAGTGTGGTGAAATTCGAATGCTTTCACCAAACAGTATAGAGTGAAGTAAAACTTTTCAGGTGCCGAGCAATGCGGTGGTGACTGGTGGAACTGTGCAGAATCGTGCATTACTAATAACATTGATTTAAAGCGGCCATTTAATGAAGACCTGCGGTGTCAGAGTGAAGATCTCGCCTCGTACAGTTTATGGATAGTAATAGATCGCAGGCCGGTCTTACGCCGCTGGCTGGCTATAATAAGGCAGAGAAGCACGCAAACCAACGGACCGTGACACAGATTCTTTTAAGTTTTTTTTTTACTTTTTTCGTAATCGGTCAATAGTCGAGCTTCATGGTTTTGATTTATTTAAAAACATTGGTTGTGGTTTGATTCGCTACACGATATCCACATACATTTAAATTCAAATAATGTACTTACGAATCTCCTAAAACACTGGCCCAATTTCCTGAGATCATTCTCGCAATCTCTCAGCGCTGGGAGGAATTCCTCGGCGTGGAATCGGCATATGCGTTCAATGTTGGCAAAAATGTCTGGCTTCATCCCACGGAGCGTCGGCGGTATATCTTCCCGACACATCTCGGGGATGTAATCTTCAACAACGTGTTTCAAACGTTCCACGTAAACGTTTTCTGTGTGTAACAACTCGTTAACACGTTCAGTCAGTCGTCTGCAACAAAAGAAAAACGTTGGAAGCGTTATACAAGCCCTCTTACTCTCTCCAGACGATTCGAGTGAATGAAGCTACCAGATATTTAAGGAATCATGGACGCTTTTGCACTTCTAACTTTTTGTTTATTACCTCATTATACTAGTGTGTATGTGTCCAAAAAAACAACCTGAGTATGTTTCAATAAGTCAACTTCAAACATAAGCTTTCCTTAAGAATAGTATTCTGTAGTAACTAGATCATCGTCCAACGGGTGTTCGGCCAGTGCGTATAAATACACAAACGCTTAAATACAAACGTAACCTTGGCATCTATGATGGTTACGCATCTTTAAAAATATATACATGTTTACTGGTGAAACAAACTTTTTTTAAATTTAAAGGCAATGAACGTCATGACAGCGAAATGATTTTCTTTTAGGTATTGAGTTTCTTTTACAAATTACAAAATTACAGTTTTTTTTTTTTTAAAGTTTGTCTAGTCGAAATTTGCAATTTACATTATTTTATTATCGAATTAATGTTTCACATCGTTTTTTTGTCACATTTTTTGAATAGAAAACACATAAATATGTAAAAAAAATGTGTCGCATAATCAATCTTCATTTTTAAAGTACAAATTTTAAGGGTAATGAACACCATATTGAAGAATGACGGCGGAAAATGAATCATCACATTAAGTTACAAAAAGTAAAACAACGCGTCAAACCATAAGTCCCATCGACCCACTAGTAGCGAGTTAGTGACGTCACCATCATTGTATGCAATGATAAATAGTCAAGTGAATGCAATGTGATGCAAGAGAGTAGCGGCAAGACATTAAATTGTCGTTACTAACAAATATTTTACCTTATCTGCCTTATCGTAGAGAAAGAGGTCAAACTAATATTATCAAAGTTTAGAGGACACCCTTACACCCAACTGATGTAGGCGATAACATTAAGAAGATTAACATTATTGTTTTGTAATTTTTAGAGGACATGATTGACCATTGGTTGGATCTCAGACTTTCAATCTAAGGACAGTTGTAAAATTAAGCATATATTTTCGTACAGAAACAGGTTACATACGGTACATTTCGCAAAGAAAACAAAATATAATAAATAAGATTTGTGCTCATACTAAGCACTCAGATCTGTATAAGTTACTAGTCTCCTGCATTATAGACAGATCTTTTTTCCATTTGAACGATTTAAGTTATAAATATAGTGAAAATTAAAAAATCTATAAATAAAATTATAAAAGGCTAAATAAACGATAAATATAAATAAAATAAACTGAAACACTAACAGTCATTAAAAGAAAAAAGGAAAAATATAGGCACTCACAGGAACGGATTAGTAGATAAATAATAGAAACCCAAATGATATGATAACTACCGAATTCTCTGGTTTCGGATTCCTCACAGGCAAATATCACATTAAAAACCTCACATTTGTACTCGAACTACAGTACTTGTGGGCATCGTTGTTTTAATACCAATCAAAATCATTCCAACGCAAAACACCTTTGAGACATAATATATTACATAGATTAGTTAATGCAAGAATTTTCTCCCTTTACCGATATCTAAACGACAGGAAATTTGTGTACTGTGGTAGATACCGCGGACAGATTTAAATCCGCGACCTTAGATTTTAAATCAACATACAAACTACTCGGTCACCACGACCTTAATGGGGTTCATTAGCACGTAGTTTCCTTTCCGAAGTCCACAATGCACGGCCGCTGTTAATGAAATGACTCATACGTTTGAAGAGATACAACAATAATTACTACATGCCGAACGTCGTTATGTCAATTAATACTTAAACACTCATTAACATTTTCTTTTAGACGCATTGCCTTAAATAATGGGGGCGCTTGCTCGTGGAATCCTTATCGGTACCAGTGTAAAGTAAAGCTTTAAAAATCATTACTAATTTAGTATAAAGTAATCTGTGTGAAATAATACTGTTCGGTTTATTAGTATTCGATGATAGGAACACTTAAACACGATAAAACGTTTCATTTTATTATTGCATGCGAGTATTCCATTGCTGTAACTGAATGTCCTATATAAATGTGAAAATGAAAAGATTATAAAAATAAGACGAAGTCACCAGACCTAAAACATAATTAACAGCTATAAGTATAATTTTCTCTTTATCAATCTGACCTTCAAACGGGTAAAGTACAAACATAGGGCTAGCGCGTTCATTATACTTGTATATGCATGGCCATTGTTTACTTTTTAAAGTTAAATATAACACGTATTTTCAAAATCTTCATAACAGGGTTTATTGACAACAGCAAAAAGTATGTTACTAAGAAGTGGTTCCAACTTACGAATATTACATTTAAGAATAAATTCCGTCCTTTCTTATGCACAAAATTGTTAGTCTAAAATTTCTATGCTTACTGAGACAGGATGAGCACTTCTCCTGTTGTGAGTCTTAATTGAGTTAATTGTCCACACATACATATAAGGGTTTATAACTAGATGGAGTGACGACGACCTGTGCAAATGTGTGGGAAGCCGATGGATGGTCGACGCTCAGGATTGTGCTTCGTGGCAGTCTGTAGGGGAGGGAGGCTTATGTTTAGCAGTGAAGTCAAATAGTCCGAAATGATGATGATGACATACAAGTAAGTTAAGAATTGAGAACATAAGATTTGTGTACATTTCTACATTACGTCTTAAAATATATCAAAATTATTCCCATCTAAAATAATAACAGAGCAAATAATCGCTTTAGAGCATGTCGCAGTAGAGAAGTTACAAAGACATAGATTTCAAAGCAAATACCTCGGGATTATGAAATTATTTGGCAAAATTTGTTGGGCCTATCGAAGCTCGTCGTATCGAAGTTCGTCCATCACTATCAATACATCGATAAATAAGATATCAGACGGGTAAACCATTCCTATAGACTCACGTTTCAATAATAGTCTACTAATATAGTTGATCTGACCGCATTAAGCTCGGTTCTAGTTGATTATGTAAATAAACGGCCTTGCCGGCCACGTCCACAAACTCAACATTGACATACACGTAGAGAGAAGATGTATATATGAATTATTTAACTTTAGCAAATACTCGATACAATATTTTCATAAGAGTAAAGTAATTAATATATTATTATTTATATAGTATAAGTTAATAATTAACAAACATTGTTAATTATTTTGAATAATACGCATATCAGTATAACTTTTTGATATTAAAGATGAACTGAATAGAAAATGATGAAATAAATTCAAACATGATCATTTTCTATTCAGTTGTCATAGTTTGTTGATGATGATGATGATTTGTACTTTGCAAGTCTACTACCAGCTGTCGATTTAACACTACTTTGTCAATTATTACAAAGGATATAATGTATCATAAACATAAAATTAGCAGAGCTACTCCCCAGTAATTCCCCGGACTGGTCTAATACTGTGAACCTACATAATACGTAGGTTTGAAATGACTACATATTGAATTAATTACGACAAATATAACGTGCGAAAAAAGGTATTGGTATTAAAGCAGAGCACATATGAATACATTTTGATTGCTCTTTATAATTTTTTCTGTCATTCTCAACAATCAATGTCACGATTCAGCCAATTTAAGTAATATGAAATCATTAATTAGTTATACGTGTAAACCCTCCTCGTGAATAACTCCGTCTGTTGGTGGAAACCGTATGAAAATCCTTTCTTTTATGATTTAATCGCGTCCAAATATACAGAGGCGGGTGGGTCTTTTTTATAAGTAAGGTGTAGTGATTCGGCAACGTTACAATAAGTACTAAAACCTACTGATAACCCCTCAATTATAATGTAATTATTCTTAATAAACAATTTCTTAAGTTATATCCTTTCAGAATACATCACATACATCACACCTGTACATAAAAAAGGGGACACTACAAAAATAGATAATTATAGACCTATCTCAAAACTATGTCTGTTTGCTAAAGTATTGGAAAAAATAATACATAAACAGGTTTACAGCTCTATTTCCCCCATATTAAGTGATGCTCAGCATGGATTCCTAAAAAACAAGTCAACTGTTACAAACTTACTACTTTCGAACAAGTATATAACTGAGGGTATGGACAATGGGTTCCAAGTAGATTGTATTTATACGGATTACAGTAAATGCTTTGACCGAATAGATCATCAAATACTTTTGAACAAATTGGCAATAGCAGGAATACATGGAGATCTACTACGTTGGTTCGCCTCATATATTGACAACAGGTCACAAGCAGTTGTACTGAATGGACACATGTCGACATGGTTACCTATTTCCTCAGGAGTTCCTCAAGGATCCATGTTGGGACCTCTGCTCTTTACCATTTTTGTGAACGACATAGAGAAGTGTTTTATGCACTCTAAAGTACTCCTGTACGCTGATGATATGAAAGTACTTAAAGTCATCACTAGTAAGGAGGACACATTACTGCTTCAATCAGATCTACAAAGACTTGTAATGTATTGTAACAAAAACAAACTAGATCTGAATATCACTAAATGCTTCTTTATGTCGTTTACAAGGAAAAGCAATATTATTGACGGAGGATATAACTTAATGGGAACATCTATTGCTAGAGTATATGAGGCGCGCGATCTGGGAGTAATTCACGATTCAAAACTCATCTTTGACAAGCACATACCTTATATTACATCCAGAGCATACAAAGCTATGGGTTTCATCATTCGCTGTTCTTCTGTGTTCAGTAATCTCAAAACAATAAAGATTCTTTACTGCTCATTTGTACGACCTATACTCGAATATGCCTCGCAGGTCTGGAATCCACAATATGAGATTTACAAGTCTCGTATTGAGGGTATCCAGAAAAGATTTTTAAGATACCTTGATTACCGAGCGCATAATAACTCACGTGACTACAATGATAGGTGCCATAGGTACCATTTTCTTCCTTTGTCCGTTCGGCGAGATATTAGTGACGTATTTTTTTACCTGAAACTCTGTAACGGTTCAATTAACTCTCACGAACTATTATCAGACATCACTATAAATGTACCTATAGCAAACACGAGGAACCGCAGACTTCTTTACATACCCAGAGCTCATACGAATTACAGGTGCAATTATTTTATGATTAGGACTGCTAAATTTATTAATGCACGAAATATCGACCCATTCTTTACTTCTCCAACTGTGGCTAAAAAAAAACTTTAACAGAGCAATATTTTTCCTAAAGATGGTTAACTAATTACTAAGAATTGAATTTGATTTATGTATTAAGTTTTTTTTTTCCTTTTTTATTTATTCATTTTTATCATTTTTTTTTTTTTTTTTCTTTTTCTTGCCTTTTTTTTTTTTTTTTTTTAAAACATAATTATGTACTAAAGGTGGAAACTTGTAACTGGCTCTTTATATATGTTACAATATTGTTTTAAAATAAGTACCTAATTTGCTGTAAGTTTTCCTAATAAAATAAAATAAAATAAAATAAAATAAAATAGAAGCTCTATCAAGACTAGAATGTTCATCCAATTTATTTTATTATTGAAATGTTTGGTAAATATTTCTTCCGATTGTTGATTTTAGCGTACAGCGTACATAGGTGTGGTAGGGCCACGCAAAAGTCTTAGTTGATGCACGCATGGGCAGATTCGTCCGGATAAACACCACGACTTCACAAAAGACCGACGTCAAAAGGAAGTGTTAGCAGGGGCCCACTTTATTAAAAGGTGGCAACTAATCTGCAACCCTCCGGGTTTTGTAAATATCCATTGGCGACGGTTGTAACATACCTTCAGGTGAACCACAAGCTCGCTTGCCATCATCTCACAAAAAAGTGTGGAATCGGAAACATCTATTCTTGAAAATTACAGAAATGCTCTCTGTGCAGCCAACGAACGGATTGAATTACAGTCATGAGGCGGTGGGGTTAGAGAATGTCATACAATAGCCAGACGCAACGACATATTCTTTACAAGTAACGGATAAAAGGTACCGACATGCGAACCAAGATTGAACATACGGATATGTTTTTATGTGATAACAAAAGATCAAGCGATTATCCTGATTACCGTCAAACGCGTCCATCCGCGGTAGTCATTCATCGCCATATTGAGTTTGGATTCCTTTAGCAACACCTTGAGATTAAGACTTCTAGAAGTTATAAAAAAGAAATATAAAAACTAAAGATTTAAGCTGTTCTCTTTAACTCACAGATCTCTGCAACTAATGAGCCGGTGCTTATCTCAATTATATTGCTGTACAAAACACTGATGTGAAACAATGGTACCATGACTGTTTTTTCTATTTTTTAAATCACATGTTTAAAATTATCTTATATATTGACAACAGACGGAAAGCAACAGTCTACTGTGGACTCAAAGCTATACGCATTTTTTTATACTATTCCGTGTTCAGGATTCTTCTTTCATTCATTCAGGATTCAGATAAATAAGGAGGTAGTTAAACTGTGCCATTTTGAAAATTACTTACGTTTAAAGAACAGACGTTTATGTTAATGAACTTTCCTACCATTTGTGTATAAAATATCTTTTTAATAATATTTGTATACAGCAACGGTTAAAGATTAATGATTGAGTTCAGTGCCTTCCAGTTCATTTCATAACGGAGAAAAATATTGAAATCGAAACACATTACTTTTTAACTTCATAATTGATATAAAATTTTAAACTGAATGTTTTCTAAAAAGTTGCAAATCCTAATTAATTAAGTTATAACATATTATTGGAACCGTAACAAAATAATGTGAGTATTTGTTATATTGGCACGATAGTCTTACGTACACAATAATATTTTTAAAGATAGAGAAACGTAACCGAATCAATAATTACGAAGTAAAACTTGTCCCCGACACTTGAGAAAAAAATTTAAATACGTGGCTCCTTAATGTATCAACATGTACACCCAAAGGACATAATTTATTATCATTCAAAAGTATTCTCCTACAAAGTAAAAACATCTGTTCAATCTTAAAATTATTAACAAAAATTAATTTTGTATGCAACGTAAAGACAGAATTCCTTTTGAATTGCAAGATTTTTTTTTCCCATCAGCGACAATTTTTACTTCATGATTAATGTTTTCGTAATGATTCTCTATCGATTAAAAATATTTGTATAGGAGAAACGGTCGTGCCGCTATTGTAAAGAATTACTTAAAATAAAATATCTAATGATGAATTTGCATAAATACACCAAAATCACTATTGTAAGAAATACAGATGTTTAATATAAGAATTGTTAATGGATGTTAACTATGAAATTATCAGAATTTTGTTGAAATAATAGGAAAAATATAACAATGGAAAACAAACAAGACTAATTCTCATATGCAATTATCTTTCTTTTGAATTGTATTTTATATAAAATAAGTTAAAAGCCAATTAAGTTTAGAAGAAATGTAAAATCATTTCGTTACAACTCAACAAAAGCATTAGCAAATTTATCAAATGTACGTTACAAGCAAGTAATATACTGCCAGCCTCTCAAGATCGAGATATTAATATCGTAATAATGTAAATAATCAATTTTCTTTAAGCGTTCGTCTAGTCACGCCCCCTAGTTTTATATCTGTCTGAATACTTTGAATTTTCTGTATCATAGAAGCGTTTTTTCATAAAACAATTATGAAAAGGAGAAATATTTATAATATTTCGAAACCTATAAATACATTTATTTATGACTATTGATAAAAAATTCCGTGTCAACAGTACATGCTTCAGTAAGATTTCCCTTTAACACAAGTTTTTTTGAACTTTAAAATTCATTACCAATGATGCATAACATATCTATAATAATTATTTATAATATTATTATTATCGTTTAGAATCTAATATATAAAATTCGCGTGTCACGGTGTTTGTAACAAAACTCCTCCGAAACGGCTCGACCGATTTTCGTGAAATTTTGTGTGCATGCGTGGAGAATCGGACAACATCTATTTTTCATCCCCCTAAATATTAAGGGTGGTCCACCCCAAACATTTCTTGTACCCTAAAAAAATTTATATGACAAAACAACGTTTGCCGGGTCAGCTAGTATTAATTATAAAAAAAATTATAACAAAAAACTATGACAGAAAATTATCGGTATTTATAATACCTATACGATAGAAAGTAATGTTTATGTCGCAAGCACAACTTGATTTTTAAGAATCAGAATTAAACTCGAATTGATTATTAAGAATCAAAATTAAAAAGTGGCCTATAAAATAAGACATCGGAATAGTGTTTTCGATTTCAAAGGATCTAATACCCGATGTATGTTCATTAAAGATGCACTAACAAGACTTATCAATATCAATACTATTACTCTTCGTGAAGGACAAGCATCTCGGTATTTCGATTCGTGCCAATTAAATCATAAAATCACTAATCATCAAACTGTAAACATGCACTCAAATACATACGCATAATCATATAGCTATATCAACGTGTTAACTACACACGTACCTGCCACGAACCATATGAATAAACATCAAGGTGAAACCACAGCACAGCGTCACCGCGACGTATGCCACCGTGTAATTATCATGTATCAGCCATATAAATTTGTACTGATTCAATTCAATCTGTTCTTGCATAATAACTTGACCTTTTTCGATACAAATATTGGCAAAATACGCAGCAAAATCGAATTAATTAAATTACCAAGTCGCATTTATAACCCAATTAAATACTTACCTATATAACAAGCGATCGAATTTTTACTTACTTATTTACCTTTATCATTGATACATAAAATTATTCGTACAAGGCTCACGTAAGCAAAACATATTCGATATGTCGCACTACTGATATCTAAACACTCCTAAGGTAAAGCGATATTTTATCTTTTATCGATATGTGACAATACCTCGCTGCGTTATCGCAAAAATTTTCACGTACGTAGAAAAATTCAAATGAACTCACCTTCGATATTTCTCCTTTTTAGATTCCACTGGTAAGACCGGTTCGGCAGACTTTGTAACACACCATTCGTTCACTGCACTAACAGTGAGGAATTCTGTGTCAGGAGCATGACATACTTCGGAACCGAACTCGTCCGAGGATACAGTAATGCTGTCATATTTCTGGTACGGTACCATATCAAAGGAGGATATTGACTTAATACTAACATTGTCGTAATTGCAACGATCCGCAGATACACCAGATGCATCCGACAAATTGTCACCTTCATCACTTTCATACTCATTAATTAGGGTATCTGTTGAATGGTCGGTCGACAGAGTATCGGTCCTACCACCCTCAGTATTAACTATATATTCCTCTCCGGATTTAATGTTGTCACTGTCATTGGTATCATCACTGCTGTTATCATCAGTCGATGACGAAGCACTCCCGTTCTTTGTCTCTTCTTCATTATCGGACACTTCAGAAGTTTTAAGTCGCAGTAACCTTTCTAAATCACTTTGTTTAACACCATAAGACCAATGGGTTTCTCCTGTGTGCCCTTGGCCTCCAATGGTCGATTTCCTTCGCATAACTGGCGGTTGTCTTGTACGTCTTAGTACAATCGGAGAACTAGGCGGCGTCGAGAATGAATACTGCGTATCCTTTGCCATCATTTCTTCCGGTACAGGTGACTTACTGTCTATAGATGAACTGTCGTTAAAGGGTTCTGGCGGTGGTGGTGCGGGTCTATGAGGTTTCAACGACGACGACTTCCTATCGGATGCGAATCCCGATGAACTCGATTCATAACTAATTTCCGAAACATTTGATAAAATTGAATTCACTGAAACATTCGAATGCCTATCTTGGGAATTAGTCACTGGGCATAAATGTTGAAAGTGCAGGTTTAACGGATTAACAACACTTGTCAAGCTTCCTAATATACAGTCTTTGGATTTCTCCAGGGATTCGCTCGAGCCACCATACTTGCTTACGGCTGTCCGTTCGAAACGTAATATCATTTCTTTAACGCTCGCTCTGTCATTTCTTATAACAACGTCCTCGTTATCCGTGGTGTCACCGCTGGATAGGAGCCCCTCGTCGAAGCGATTGTTGTGATCCTCTTGCGTCATAATGAGGTGCTGGCAGCTTTACGATTGCACAAGCACAGTCTTTATGAGGGAAACGCGAATCATATCAGAGCGCACACTAAGTGCGAACAATCACGACACGCGCACGCACTTTTAACTTCAAAACACAACTAAAGACTAAAGCGGCGCTTGCGTTCGCGCGGATCAGAACTCGCAACTCGCCGCTAACGTCAGTCCACAGTGCCCGACCCCGTGAGTTCATTATTTTATCATTTAAAAAAAGAGATACTATTTCCTTTACTTTTCCCTTTTTTCGAATAATATTGCCAAAAAAGAGAAAAGTAAGTGATTAGATTAAAGTAAGAGAGTTCTTATAAGTGAAGAAACAAAACCAAAATGTCACTCCTTATCTCTAAAAATCACTGGCTTGTAATATCTGCAAGTTATGATGGCGTTTAAAAATGTAGATTTATTTATATTTTATCGGGTGACCTAGTTGAAATAGTCTTTGATTTCATTCAAAGTATTTCATAGGATAGATAACTGTGACGCTAACACCGTGTTATTGTTAAAAGAGACACAAAATTTTATTTTAACCATACACACCTTCAAAAACAACTAATGGATGTTGTTACTAGCAGTATATACCCCACACATAAATACCTTGAAAAAGTCTAAGCAACACGATTAAAATATTGTGATATTTTCTAAAGTAATTTACTAAAATTATCTTTTTAAAACCTATATACTTTTAATCTGGAAAATGGATACTGTCCGGACTGATTTTAGAAAAATAATATTATTTAAATAAAAAAAATAAGATAATGAAAAAAAAATAGATTATTTACGAATGGAATGGATTGTAAAACCACGACTATTTTTAAATTTACCACGATTTATTGTTTCTAAACTTTAAAAAATATTGACAATACGTTATGCAGCGACGAAATTTACTATGCAGTGAAATGTAATGAGCGTTAGGAATACTGCAAATTGAAAGCAGTCAATCGGAGCTGGTGCTCGGCTTCTGGTTTTTTACAGTCTATGGCACCGTTACACCAATACGGGAGACCCTGCAGAACAGCACCCTGATCGCGGCGGGGGGTACCATTACAGCAAGATTGTTTTTGCAAATCATCGCCCGCAAGACGTCAACATAAGATGACCGCCCCAAATTGGGTTAAGGTTTCAAAACTGACGTAGTTGATCCCCAAGCGTACGAAACATACTGCACAGAAATGACCTCTATGCACAACGCCCTATAAGTTCCCTCCCCATCCGTCATGGGTACCGAGGTCGCCGAGAATCATGGTGCAGGGAACGTCTACATGGCCGCAAGAGCTATGGGATAAAATCCTATATTCTGACGAGTAACGATTTGGATTTAGACCGAATTCGAAAAGAGTAAGGGTCTATCGACGTCCGTTCACATCATACCTCAGCGTCTCGATATCTGTCTTCAGGATCTTGATCCCTATTCCCCCAACTATGGTTTGAATCATTAAGGACATACGAATGAAGCTAGTTTCCATAAATGGCAATTTAGATGCCGATTCTTACGTCCAGAACATTCCACGGCCGAGTTTGCCTAATATTTACAATTTTCAACATTAGATTATAGCCTTAGATTATATTGTGATGCATGACTATGCTCGTTGCCATAAAGCCAGGAGGACTTAAGAAGGACTCTTGCAGGAAAATATTCGAGATATAAAATAAGGCTTAAACAGCAAACAACCCCCAACAGCGTTCTCTGTCTTATTAAAGAGTAGCGACCCGCCCCGGCTTCGCACGGGTGCAATGTATTATACATAATTATAAACCTTCCTCTTGAATCACTCTATCTAGTTTTAAAAGCCATCAAGATCCGTAATTTTAAAGATCTAAGCATACATAGGAACAAACAAACAGCTGGACGACTTTGTTTTATACTATGTAGTGTCAAAACAAGCAGCTATTTATTAGAATGCAATATCCGGTCAGAAAATACTATATTTGCTGTCTTATATCAAAGTACAACTTAAAAAAAAAACAATACGACATTGCTGCGCCATACCGGCGACTGCGTCTGCTCAGGCATCGCACGTGGCCGACGTAGAGTTCATTCGCATTTGATTGTGCCAGATCTTCAAGAATTGTAAAGAAAGCTACTGATCTTAATGAACATATTTTTAAATTCCTTACGACTCCAATCAACTAAGTGATTTGAATATAAAATGTGAAATATTTTTGACCTTTTCTTAATTAATCTACGTTTTACTCTTCTTACAGGTTTCCTTGGTTCGGTTATGTAATAATATATTTCGCGCCATTGGACTCACTGATAATTTATTGGCAACAATGAGGCTGTAATTTTACCTATCCTACCCTTTGTATATATATTTTAAATACAGCGTGTCTTTACAATAGCGACAATAAATGAACACACATATAGGGGATAACTTTTTAAAGTTGTATTAAACATTTACATTCTTTAAACATCAGTATTTACAGAGTTATTAAATTTTCCAAAACAAAGAATTTTAGAACACCCTTACGTATAAAACTGTAACATAAAGTTCATTTGTAAAAGCCACAAAGCATATGAATGGGTTGAATGAATTTAAAAGAGACAAAACATACTGTTAGAAGGAGAGGCTTGTAATGCGACGCTGTGGCAACGAATGAAAAAGTCTCTGAATGTATGAATCAGCCAGTTGTAGTTGTAGTAAAGGATTTTACAAATTTTGTTTCTTTTTTACTTAATTATTTTGTTTGATAATTTTTTTTAGTTATGGATTTTTTTAACGTTAATATTTTTTTTGATTATTGGCAAGTAGCGTTAGACGTGTGTTCATTTATTGTCGCGGTGGTGACGAAACACTGCATACACAGGGAGATTCTTTTGAGAAGGGCCCAAATTTACACAGGAGGTTCAGACTCGGTAGTATAATCGTTTATTGTAATAAAAATCAAAGTTATTTTCCAAAAAAAAATCTATTCTATTCCCTAAAAAACAGAACGTGTTGATAATGCGGTAGTCATTCATAAATACCTTAATTTTACTGTGCACGAACTTGTGTGCGTGTTAGTTTTGAATGATCACGCGTAAAATAAATGAGTTGCGTATAAATCACGCACTTTTTGATATAAGTTCAAATGAAGGTAATCAATTACTTACGAGTGATTTCAAAATATTTATCATTTTATATATCATTATTTATGTCTAGAATTAAAAAAAATGGATACACTTAGAAAAGCCACCCTGTATATACCAAGAGGTGCCGTTTCGACTTTGCATCATTAAACAAAGTCATCCCGCTGTCTATCTGTCCCTATGTATGCTTAGATCTTACTAAATAGAGTGATTCAAAAGGTTAATATGTATAATAGCTGAAAGGATGACTCCGTGGCGTAGTTGCCAAGGTATTGGCTTCGGCGTCGAGGGTCGTGGGTTCGATTCCCACACGGGACAACTATTTGTGTGTCCCACGGATAATTGTTCCGAATCAGAGTGTTTATCCGCGTGAAATTTATGTTTGTAAAACGTCCTTACAACACAGGATAATGTTATCCTAAAGTAAGGGCAATGTTTCCTTTAAAAAAAAATTGAACCCGTGCGAAGCCTGGGCGGGTGGGTCGCTAGATATATATAAATGAACTTTTAAATCACTAGCATTGATATTTTTTAAATCGACTAAAAGGAATAAATTATAAGGTAAGCTTAATAAAAAATCATATCCATAAGAACTAATTTATTTTTAACCATTATCTCTAGCTTTACTGATTAATTCTAATCAACCTCGAGTTGTCGGAAAGATCCTTCAACACCAAATAAGCTGGAAGTGGTCTTTGGTTTGTCGGGTCTCTTGGTCTCGTCAGACCTTTCGGTGTCTTCCCTAAGGAACCAATCTCGGTAGCTCTCGACCTTAGCTACCCAGTAATCTGAAAAAAGGAGGTTACTTACGCTATGCCCCGATTGGTGCATTGTCTATGTAGTATTGGGAAATCTATTTGTTAACAGTTAATTTATCATTACTGATTTACAGTTAATTGATCATCAATTTAGATTAAACCATTATATATTAGAAATAGCAAGGGTACTTTTAGCTTATATTTCTTTACCAGTGAGCTCTTGTATATTTTCTCCTTCACCTCCGTATTCTTCCGGCAACACCCTTTTTGGTATTTCTTTATACAGCGCTTCGTAATTTTGGTTGAGCACTCGAATCTGAAAGCAGCGGTCAAATGAGATACAAGTTATAGTAAGTGAAGTAACTTAAAAAACCATTGTAATGGCGCGAAAAAGAAAAAAAATATCCGCATAATAAATTCTTTGTGGTCTCGAGCTGCTGCAAGATGGTGAAGGAATCGAGGAAGATTTATCCTTCTCCGAAGCGTGCCCACGCGCAATACTCAGCGACACCGTTGCGCTCCGTAGGAAATCCCGGAGTCCCTCCAAACGTACAGAAGGGGGGCACCGAGGGGGTTTTGTAGGGGTAAGAATCACACATGTAAGGTACCAGGGCGTCTTTTCAAGATTTCCCCCCCGATTCCAAAAAACAGTACCATAGACCGCATTATTTTGATTTAATTATGATTTAATTAATGAATTGTATCCACATAAATACTGCAATTTCTAGTTCTGTAAAACTATTATGGATTTTGATGCTTTTAATGTTGAAAAGTAATGGCATAAAATCCTTAAATGATATACAAGAATGTTAAACAAGCGCTAATGGTTTCAATGATATGTGAGTAACATAGCACGAGGTATTGTAAATATTACTCACTCTTTTCTTCAACTTTTCACCGAGAAAGGCTTTCAGGATGGTATAAGCGGCTTCAAAGCCGGTTGGGGTGTTCAATATATGGTTGCTCTTCAAACGCACCGGGAGTGCCTTCTCGAAGCAAGTGATCACTTTCTTGGCCAACGCCGGCGTCCACTGACTGAGTACGTTCACACCGACGTTTCTCATGTCAATAATTACCTCCTGGAACGAATTAACCTCGCGTAAGGAATACTGAGCTTACATAGAACGGCGAAATGAGTTTTCATTAACACTATCCTAAACGATCGGAAGCGAACTGTATATTCTGTTTAATTTTTGCCTCGAAGACTGAATTCCGTGTAAAGAGGCTTTGCTTTGTAATTTCTTCATGATTTTTATATTTTGAGATAGCTACTAATAACTGAATCCTAATTTAATTTAAAAAATTACATATACCTCACCAGACACGGTGAAATTGTCGTCCTCGAGCATCATTATTTCCGTAATCATGAATGCAACTTTGATAAGATCCGACAAGTTATACTCGGTAGGATTGAATACGCCGATACGAAGAATGCATATCCTTGAAGAGTCTGTGTCTTTGCAGTTTCTCAGTGGTAAGAACGCCCTGGGGGAACGAAATATATAAGGTAAATTAACTATTATGTATGTATAACTGAATTTCTAAATAGATATATTGTGAGATTTACCCAAGCTTCAAAATTCCTTGTATTCTAGATGAGAGTGGATCTCTGTTTGAGAAAAACTCTGGCACTATTGCTCTTAACGTGTAATACATGTCCAACTTCTCTTTACACCTCTCGAGGCTGAATTTACTTCCACGCAGAAATGCAACCAACCATTGATCCGCTGTAAATATATATGTATACTGCTTAAAACATTCGGGACAAAATTTTGTTCGAACGAAAAAAAATCCTTAAAATGATAAAATAACTTTAATTGGACTTTCACATTAATTAAATTGAAATAAAATGAATAGTCAAGCTAGGTATTTGTTTTTTTTTTTACTTTTAATTCGTAATTTTATCACAATTTTATAATTTTTACACATTACGTTATTAATTATTAATATAGGTACATTTTTTTTTTATTAAATATTTTACATAAAACTACATATTATACATTCACTTGGGGCGCAATTGGTGCAAAACTCGAATATGCTTTTTATACTGTGGTATGACCATGTTGTTGCTCGAGTCAGCACTTCAGCAGTCTCATTAGGAGATACTTCCCCATGCTACTCCATGGCCTGACAGAATACCGGCACGAAGAGGAATCTTAACGGTATTTACAACCTTACCAACGTTCCAATATCAATAAAATTTAGTACATCACTTGATTAAATTTTTTTTAGTATTTTTGCATGTAATACAAAACACCAATTTTTTTACAAAACACCATAATAATTTCATCACATAAAGGTAAAGTTACAGCCTATACATGTACCACTGCTGGGAAAAGACCTCCTCTATACAGAGGGTATCAGTATTTGTTATTATTTCGAAAATATGCAGGTTTCCTCACGATGTTTTCCTTCACCGCGGAGCACGTGATAAGTCAGCAATTAAAATTAAAGACTTCATTGGTGCCGGCATCGGGGCTCGAACTCAGGTTGCTCGAGTCTATTGAATTAAAGGCGAGCGCCCGGACACTGAGCTATCACATAGTGAAGCCATATCAATTTTTACTTTGGTTATAACTTGAAAAAGACGAACTATTAGATTTTAGATTAGATATTTTTGTATTTTTATTTGAATACAATAAATTCATATTATAGTTATTAATTTTAGAATGCTCTTTGCTGTCGAAGCTGAAGCTAGACAATTAAGAAAAGTGACATCTATGAATTCTACTGTAAACTTTTTCCATGTTATCTTTTTCATAAAAACAGTGAAGGCAGTTTAAGTATGATAAGATACACCTAGATGTCGCTGCCAAGTTTTGTGTAAAAGGATCACAGATACCAACAATAAACAATTAACATTCAAAATAGATGTGTACAAAAATTATTAGTAATAGCAATATAATATATATAATAGCATACCAAATGGCAAAAAATACTAAGCGGCTAATTACTATTATTAAACATTTTTTAAGCCTATTTCTTTCTATTATTTTAACTATATTTAAAATACTTACAGGGATTTACAGCATGTAAATGTGGCTCCTGTCTTAGCCACGTCTTTAGAGCTAGTACATCAGATTCTACCCTACGAGGATTTTCATTTATTTCCTTTTTGGCCTTTTCCTGAAGAGTGGTGGAGAGCGGTCTCACCGTCATTTTAACTTTTACTGAAACTAAAACATTGATTCGTAAATATTTCATAAAATCGTTTAGTTGTGAATTTTTATAAAATGTATGTTATAGGTTAAACTTTATTTCAAATTACTAGCACGAATGCCATGAAACAGAAACAAGGATTTTTTTTACAACATACTGTAAGAAACTAACCTTTATTTATTGATGAAACGTATTGTGCAGCCGTAAACAACAATGTGACGTTCACTGCGCCACGAAGTGCGAGTCGACTATCACTAACTGACTATGTTAGAAGTAAGGAAAGGTAGGTCGAGCGAGTGATTAATAACATACTAATTAAGTTAACCGACTTGAACGGGTAAATATTTCGTGATCGTGATATTATTGTTTTAAAAATAGTCGCTTTGAACTCAATGGTTAGTATCGAAGGCAATAAAGACTTATGGCTCGTATTTTAGACATTGGATGTTTAGCGTGTTTTGAATAGATCGCAGTAGTATCCGGCCTTGTTGCTGTGATGGGTCGACGGCGTTCCCGCGATAACTTCCCGCGGTTTTATAACTCGTCTACTGATTAGATAGCTATATCATATTAATTACGTTCACCTGTGTGCATTGACAAATGGTTATGCCGACTTTAAACCACTAGTCCGTCACATATTAACTTTTTAATTTCTATAATGGAGTAAAAGAGTAATTATAAGTCCATTTTCGTCATCACATCATCACATCCCAATCTTTTGATTTTTATTATGATATGATGCGTGTTATTGATTATTATATGATGTGTAATGCAATTTCTATATCTAAAGGTGTTCCAATAATAAAGAATATGATTATGATCATTTTACCATTTCTATAATGGGGAATCCATACACGTTTGTTAACTTTTACTAACACAGTTAAAACTATCATAGGATATTTTCTTTGTCTGTAACATTAACAAAATTTGATATTTTTAATAACATTACTATTTATTGTACCTACCATATATTAATACGTAGGAATCTAGCACAATTTTTGTTACAGAATCATGTAAATTTAACCGTTTTAAATGTTTGTTTACTAATTACTAGTTATGTAAGATGTGAAGTTGTAGTAGTATGTGAATTTATAGTATTGGAAACATAGTACATTAAGTATTTTCTGTATTTCCATTGCTTGAAATAGGAATAAATTAATAAGAATATTATATTCGGTTCAATGAAATATTTAAAAAATTATTTAACACTTTTTTCTTTTACGAGAATATTTTTTTTATAAAAGATGACCTTAACTACTTCGCTAATTCTAGCCGTAGAGGAGGCTTTAAAAATGTTGATAAGCAGATAGCGATAGACTGTGGAATAGAGCATGACAAAGCGAATAACTAACAGAGAGTGGAGGATGCATAATTATTCCACTGGTGGCCCCACAGATTTCTACCTTCTAGATGGGCCTCGAACGGTACTTCAAAATATGTGATCGCCTAGATGACGGAAAGTAATGGACAGTGATGGGGATACAAATACTAAGGCTACTTGAAGATATCGATGTTGTAAGACAAAAACTTTGCTAGATATATATTATAGAAGACCAACAAAAGCTTCGATCACACAATTAAATTCATGGAGGCTAGACGAGAAATGGGACTGCAATCTGGATACTTAAAATGATAGATCAGGATAACATCAACTCAAACAAACAGATATTAAAATTGGTAAACTCCAAGAAAGGCGATACAAGTTATTGAGCTTTGACTTACTGTTTGTAAAGCGTCATCCAAAATCCGGCAAAAGTTGATTTCGGGAAGGCTGAGACAATTTCATACCATATGCTCTCTATCTCACAGAACACAGAGGAAACTTCCAGTATATTATGTTCAGCGTATGTGAAATAAAAGAAAGATTTCGGATAAGAGGTTGACTTTAATAAAGCAATGATAGCTGATAGACTTTTTCTGCATCAAAAGAGTTGTAAGTACTTTGTTCAGTCTTTTTAGAAAAGAATAGAGTCAATTCTTGAAGGCCCATAAGTCGAATACGGTGGCCTGTCAGGAAATACTGTCATGCTCTGCCGAACGCAACAAGGTCTTTAGAGGCTAAATTTGCTTTCAGTTCCAAGTGATCGCGAAATTGAATGTCACTGTGTTTGTCAAAAATTTCTGAGAACTTTGATGATGAACCTAGTATTTCGAAAATACACGACATGAAAAAGAGATCACAATGAAATTCCTAAGAGGTAAACGCGTAAACCTTTTTTATTAGTGTAAAAATCGAACTAGGTAAACAGCCAGCCGGGCCGGTTAATCGACCCCGGGTTTGGTGTTAGAAAATACCAACAACGACCTTGATTCTCCAATAATAAAAAAATGATATGTCCCACTGGTGGACAAAGCTGTCCTCTGTATAAAGAATTTGCAGTGGCAGACATTATATAAATCTTCTAAATAATTTTATTATCAATTGGAAAATATGCAGGTTCCCCCTCATGATGTTTTCCTTCATCAATGAGCACGGGTTAAGTCAGGACATTGAATTGCATTCAATAATTCATTGGTTCCAGAACCATGATTTGAACTCAGGTTACTCCAGCATATTAAAAGCGAGCATCTGGACACTGAGCCATCACGGCTACTGTTAACAAATGATATAGTCATAAATTAACCACGACAAATAATTTTTGATTGACTAACTTTGATGTTTAACTGATTTGACTGTTAAAGTACTTGTTTTTATAATAAGGAATTCGATGAAATTCCCAAAAAAAGATTCGATGCTTAAAGTACCTGGTATCGAACAAGTTCCAATTCGTGCATCGCGCAATTAGTACTTATCTTTAATTAGGCTTTTTCTGAATAAAGTTTATTTACTTATTTATTTTTTGTCAGATTCTTGGTGCATAAGTCTAAGCCAAACATTTTTAAGACTGGCGACAGTTAAAGGTGACAAACATCAAGTGAGACAATGTTAGCAAAAGAAGATTCTAACCCTTTCACAATTAGAGCCAGCTTTATAATTTGTCTTTCTTATCAATTTTTATTATGACAGATTAACGATTTAACTAATAATCTTTGCCCACCGCCTAAATGAGGACAGATATCTAAGATAAATATTTAGTTTTCATAGAATAAAATAAATGAAAAAACAGAAAGAACGTTAATTAATTTATTTGAAAAAGAAATGCCTCTTTTATATGACAGACTTCGCTTTAAGGTCACCGAGAGTAATTTTTTTAATCTTCCGAAAATTTAAATTTTGCACCAGAAATCCTGTTCTACTTCAGCCAACACGTTAGCTATGACTAAGTAACCTACTAAAGTCGTTAATCTACGAGAAAATTCTGATATCTAGTATTAATAAAAGATTGTTTATTAAATTAAACTTTTCAGAAAATCTTTTTGTATGTATAAATAAGCAAACGTACAATGAAAAAAAATATTATCATTTGCATTATAACAACCACGTTGTTATGTAAATCCGCTGTGCGTATTTCGTAAAACGATTCGGCGTTCACGAAGGCCTTGATTTTCTTAAAATAGCATGTGACGCTCACCGTCGCTAAGCTCGATTGATATCATTGAGAACAAAACGACCGAAAGAGTAAATTCATGGACTAGAATTGTTTTATAATCGTCATCTTTTACCCTATCCCTGATAGCACAGATGGGACTAACAGCTTATCGTAGGGCTTAACGTTATCCGTTTAATATACGCTTATAATTATGTTTATCAATTTATATTGTTATTGTCATATTCCGTGGTTTTAATCGGAAATTGAATACGTCTTATTACAAAAAAATGGGCATATATCACACACTACGGACCAAATAGACATCGCGTGTAGATAGTACTGTCTTCGGCAGATATTATAAAAGGCCTAATCCAATGTTGCTTTAAAAATCATCATAGCTTCGTTCGCAAAGGCTCATCTGGAATCTGACTATATTTTATCTAATCGAACTAGTCCCAAACAAATGTTAAAAAATACTCCTGCGGCAATTTAAAAACACTAAAAGTCGCCAAATTCACTAAATTCGAACCAAAACTTTCCTAAATGAGAAACATTTATAGAGTTTTGGATTAAAGTTACCTCGTAAAAACATCCATTGTTAACTTTAAAAGAAACGAGAAAGAACTGAGAAAGAAAATTCCTAAGTTGGCATCCGTGACTCTGTGAGGCCGTAGTACTTTCCTGGACGAACGTGCACATTCGTGCAACAGCAGAAGCTGCTACGTGGCCCTACCACATTTCAAAATTTGAATCAGGTAAGAATATATAATATGTTTATCAAAGGATGGTAATAAAATTGCTATTAATTTTTTTAAATAATAAAAAATAGCATTTTTTTATTAATTATAATAAATAAATATTAACCTATTATAAACATATATACGTAATATATCTTTTTTTATGTTACAAAGTGGCAAGTGAGCTGGTGGTTCACCTGATGTTTAGTGATAAACGCCGCCCATGGACATTAGCAACACCCATGGCGTTAGATGCGTTGCCGCCGTTTAATAAAGTAGGATCCTGTTACGTAACTTACCAGACGAAACGCAGAAGTGTAACACTTCACCTCCGTCTTCTGTGAGGTGGTGGTGCTTGTGGTACCACAGACCATTCGTTAAATCGTGCAACAGAAGACACTTTTGCGTGGCCCTACTACTGTTGGGCCTACCTGCCATCTATTAACTCACACGTTTGTTAGTATTCAAACATACATATTAGAGCAAAGGGGTAGGAATTTCATGACAGTCAAAATCTTACACTTTTTCGGCCTAGAACACTTTAACGAGTTAGCTAAACGGCTCATCGAACGTGCTGAAGCCATCCCACACGATATACTTCGATATACGTATCGCTCGTTTCGGGGTGGTTTTAGCCGCCCACGAAATGTTAACAGTCAATGGCCATCGTGGTCTCATTGCGTGAACCTCGATGGTCCTAAGGTGATATTCCCTCCCACTAAATAGAGCACAATATGCGCGTCCCCACGAAATGATGAGGGCCGTATCAAGTTCATTGGATCTGGGTTTTTTTTTAATGTGAAAAGTTGTCAAACGAGCAGACGGTTCACCTGATGTTAAGTGAATACCGCCGCCCATAGACATGTGCTACACCCGAGAGTTGCAGATGCGTTGACAACCTTTTGAAAATTGGGCTCCGGTCACCTCACTCTTCCGTCCGATAGGTATGCCAGCAATGCTGGACGAAGAGAAGGCCGAATGCCTGGCTGACAGCCTAGAGTCTCAATGCTCCCCCAGTCTGCTTCCGATCGACCCCGAACACCTCCGCAAGGTGAACGAAGAGGTAGAAAGGAAAGCTTTAGAGCCACTCCGCGATCCCGTTCCCCCGGTCACGTGCCTAGAACTAGTAGAGACCATTAAAAAACTACGCCCCCGTAAAGCACCAGGCTCAGATGGAATCACCAATAAGGTGACCAAGCTCCTCCCTACTAGCATCCTTCAGATACTAGTATTAATTTACAACGCGGCCTTAACCGAAGGCTTCTTCCCATCCGAGTGGAAGGAAGCCGATGTCATAGGGTTCCTCAAACCCTCTAAACCCGCCACCCTCCCAACCTCATATCGTCCAATAAGTCTTCTCAAAACATTTTGGAAGATCTTTGAAAGACTAATATTAGCCCGCTTAAGATCCCTTATGGACACCAAAGGGCTCCCCATCCCAGAGCAGTTTGGATTCAGAGCCAAACACTTGTGTACCCACCAAGTGCACCGCATCACGGAGCACATATTAACCAAACGCCAACGTGGACTCAACACCGGTGCACTCTTCCTGGACGTGGCAAAAGCGTTCGACAAAGTCTGGCACAACGGGCTCGTATACAAGCTATACGGGTACGGAGTGCCTGACCGTCTCGTATGCATAATACGAGACTTCCTAACGAATCGAACCTTTCGCTATCGCGTCGAGGGCGTGTGTTCGACTACGCATCCCGTTCGAGCCGGGGTGCCCCAAGGGTCGGTGTTGGGCCCAGTCTTGTTCACCCTCTACACCAAAGACATGCCGCGTGTCAAAGATGTAGAACTTGCTCCTTTTGCCGACGACACCTGTATCTATACCACAGGCAGAACACCCGAATTGATCCATCGATGCCTCCAAGCTGCGGCCATCACCATCGGTGACTGGTTTCGGCAATGGAGGATCGAGATCAATCCCGCCAAAAGCGTGGCCGTCCTTTTCGCGCACTAAAAGAACATACCCATACCACCCCCAGTTAAACTCTTGGACAGCCCAGTACCATGGGTTAATAAAGTCAAATATCTAGGCGTCGTCCTCGACTCCCAGATTAAATTCACCCAGCACGTGACCCAGGTCAGGAACCGGGCGGCCTTCGTACTCGGTCGCCTCTACCCGCTCCTCAATAAAACGTCAAAAATGTCCTTTCGGAACAAGGTGACCTTATATAAGGCAGTAGTTCGCCCTATCATGACGTACGCGAGCCCCGTCTTCGCTCACATTGCTCCGAAGCAAATACACCGGCTTCAGGTGATTCAAAATCGATTCTTGCGCAGAGCCACGGGAGCACCCTGGTTCATGCGCAATATCGACCTTCATGTCGATCTAGAATTGCCCACCATCGCGCAATTCCTGAAGTCGGCGTCGCGCCGATATTTCGATTCCGCCGCCGCGCATCCCAACCCACTTATCGTAGGTGCCGTCACCTACAGGCCCTTGCCGCTAAATATTTTCCGACGCGATTACCGAAGACCGCGTCACGTTCTCGACTTCCCTGACGATGAGATGACTATCGCCATCGAAAGGATCAAAAAACTCAAGAAACACACCAACACACACCGCACTCGCCGGCGAGTGCGGCAAACATATACTAGGTTCCGCCACGTACCTGGCAGGTTTTCCCCTATTAATGATAGAAGCGTTGCTGGAGTTTCTTCCGCCACTTCTTCTCCCAGTGCCAACGCTCTCCGAAGTGGTAGTAATGTTAGCACTAGTAATTCCCCCAGTCAGATAATAGCTACCGATCGAGCCGAGGTCCGGCCCTCTCGGGCACCCTCGAATCGGAATGCTAAACGCGTGCTGAGTGACAGCCCGAGCCGAGGTCCCCTCTCGGGGACCCTTGAGCCGGATCACTCCACGGAGCGCCCGCCAAAGCGCCCTAAGAGCTTGCCTAATAGCGTGACGGCCCGAGCCGAGGCTCCCCCGGGAGCCCTCGAGCTTAGTCACCATAACGCGTAATAATAGTACGCCGAGGTTCAGGCTAGGCGCCTCATGCGCCAGGCCACCTCAAGTCCGTCGGATCTGTAAAGGCCCCTAAGGCCAACAGTGGCTCATCCAGCCCAATATATTCACCTCACTCACCAGACGAAACGCGAAAGTATTATACTTTCACTTTACGCCGGTATTCTGTGAGGTCGTGGTACTTACCCGGACGAGCCTGCCCATTCATGAAACAGCCGAGGCTGCTGCGTGGCCCTACCACCGTCAACTATCCCTCAATTTCTACTTTGTATGAAGCTTTAAAAATAAAAAAATACATACAGTAATTATATTATTTTTATCTATGATGTAAATACTGAGTCCTGTAGATTTTAATCATGATTTTCCTCGTTTATCATAATAGTTAAGATTTTTTTTCTAACATTTTATTTACAAACAAACACATTAGTTTTATATTACGGTTTTTATTCAATTATTTTAAAGAATATGTTATTAATTAAATTTATTAACTATAAAAAATAACTTAAACGTTTTTATATAAACATTGATATCAATATCAAAAAAAATTGTTCAATAGTACTCAATTTTAAATGCTAGTAACTAAACAGTGTTCCATTTATAAAATTATACATTTCAAGCATTCATTTGTATCGTTCGGCATTTCATTACACCGAAACGAAACGCCTACCGTTAGTGTCTAATTTAATCAATGTCTAATTGTCTAAATGAACCTTGATCTCCGAGTTCATCAGAAAAAGCGGCCTTGCCGAGTCGCCTTGATTCATCCGTTCCGAAGTTCTCCTCATCCTCCATCCAGGACTTGTACTCGATTATCTTTCCAGCCCAGTATTCTATTAATATAATAAAGATTATACAAAATGAAGACAAAACATTTTAAATGTACTTAAATTAATGGAGAAAATCAAATACGATTATCTAAAGTAAACAGGAATAATTATAAATTAAAATTAATAACATTTACTTGTTTTAATATATAATAACATTTAACTTTACAAGTATACCCTTATATGGCTCTTAATTATTTTGCTACTATTTGGAACCATTTCCAAAATTTTAGAGAAAAGAACATTGCTCGGTTTTCAGGTTTTATACCGACACGCATTGTTTCAAAATGGAGCGTGAGATTTTACTGTTGTATACCATCAGTATTAGTATGCTGGTGGTATACCCATAAATATTTTATCTGACTTATGATTTATTTTGAAAAGGGTGAAAAAATATTTTCCTAAAACAGTTGTTCCTGGTTTGATTTTTAGTTAAGACACAAAGTGATTTCGATAACAGAAATACCAAAAAGGATATATATATATTTAATTGCAGAAGCATGATTCGGAGAAATCACACCTTATGACGAAGGCTCTGTTACCTTTTGGGCAGGAATAAACTTTTGATTGTGCGGAGTTATACTCTATTGAAAACGGCACACTATTTGTATCGGTGTGGAGTATTTTACGTGTCTAGATAGTGTGTCGCTTTAATTTATCGTCTAACATAATTTTGTGGTATCTATAGGTTAACATCCATTAGGAACATTGGAAGTAGGTTAGGTATTAGGCTCAAAAATATACGACATCTATTTTTTTTTAATCACATTTTCCAAGAATGAAGAAACGTATAGGTACTTAAAAAGCATAACTTGATCAGAATAAAAAATAGATCCAAATCTCTACAATCGTTCCTGGTGATGAAATATATTTATATATGTACAAGAAACGTTCTTTTAAAAAAAATGCATCGATTTTGAAGGAATCATATCCTAGGCTTATTATTGCGGCTGGTGATAAGAGGACCAGTCATTTTCAATATTTTTTACATACGTACCAATAATTTCAGCAACAGTTCCTCCATCTCCACCATATTCAATTGGGATAACATCTTTTGGAATATGTTCAAATAATTCTTCTGGGCTTTTATGAATTTTGAGCTAAAATATACCATTTTCCTTAAAAAAAATCTTAATTCGTTTTTAACTTGTTACAACACGATTATGAAAATCTCACCCTTTGTTTTGCCTTTTCATTTAGGAATGTTGAAACTAGTTTGAAGATGACCTCTATGCCTGATGGTACGTTCAAATGATGACTCCCTTTCAATCGCAGGGGCAGGGAGTCCTATATAGCGAACATAATACTAGTTATGTTATTTCCATTTTTGATTTATGTTATCAAAAATACATCAAAGTATATAGCATTCATTTACTTTCGAATGAATACAATAGATAAATTGATATTATTTTAGTGGCGTCATAGATCACATAATAATGATTTTCAAATGTTAAAATAATACTTACTTGACTGACCGCTGTTATCTTTCGGAGTAAACTCGGGTTTGCCTCTATTAAATGATTGAGGGTGCAACCTTCATAGTCGACAACTATTTTAGTTCCCAAAACCGACGCAGTGTCGTCTTCCATAACTAAAATCTATTAAAAAGTCAAAAGTTTTGAAAAATTGTAATAAACAAGACAATTGTATTAATATTTCATGACCGTCATGATTAGTAAGGTAGAAAAGTAGTTACGATTTTTAGATTATTAATGAAAAATAGTATGCTGAATGACCAAATTCCTCCGAGTGTTTAATAGCGTGGGACTGTTTAATACAGATACTGTTTTTAAGTACAGTCGGGTTTCCCTAGTTGTTTTGTAACTTACCATTATAAGAGAGCAGTTGACGAACGGGGAGATTTACTTCATGTTGAATAGTATTGCTTTGTTTGGAAATTTACAACACTAGTTTTGTTGCATTAGAGTGAAACCTTTTAAAGGTTTTACCGCGGTTTCCTCACTTACCTCGACTTTAAACTATGAAACTTTCCTCGTGCAACAACAGAAGCCATTGGCTACGAGAGTAAAAACTAGTAGTAAGTACTAACAGGAGACACGACAGTGATTCTCTTCCTATGAGTGAGAAACAGATATGAGTGGTCATATACATAAAATTACATTTAAACCCACCATGCGTTTTTCTTATTCTTTGCATACTGGTCTTACCACATGATTTTCATGATACTTTTGCTATGAAGTTTTTCTGTATTTTGTCACAATGCATCATTGGCGTTTTTACTCGACAGTCGAAGGAGGGTTATATTTTTCGAGCACTTGTATGTATGTATATGTAATAGTCTGGCAAGCTCCTCAGCCTTTTGATGGAATTAACAACATGATGTGTCATTAGTTTCGCCTCGGAGTCAATATGGTGTCCGTGACAGGAATAGTTATTATTCTTATTGCAGAGCGAGGTGGGAGAGGTGGGGGGGGGGGGGGGTGCGAGTTTTTTTGTTTAATTTAATAACTGCTTTAATGCTGTGTGAGCCGTCTTTTGAGGACAGTAACAATTATCCTTCCTCGTATCTAACATGTATGTGGATAAAATAATGAACTCACCTGAACTAAGTAATACAAAATGCACATGACGTTGGCAATACTGTCTTCCTCCGGGTTATACCTCCCAACTCTTATAAGAATTACCCGCGGATGCAACCCGGTTTTTGATTTTGGTAATATGACACATGTCCTGCAATGTAACATTTGAAAGTAACTATTAGAGTGAGATACACTCACAGTACAAAGAGCTATGAAAAATAATGGTTTTGTAAACAAAATATAATGTTTTAGTTTTCCCATGGACGTATTTTAATTAAATATGTATTTATGTACGTTTGTAATCTGATTTGAAATTTCTATGCAATACAAACGAATTTTCTTGCTTCACGGTAAAAGGAAGCATCACGGGAAAACTTCATGACTCTTTCATTTTCAAATGAATATATAATTTGAATATCCATAATCCGTGAAACGTTTCAAGAGAGGAAGTCATTGATGAAAATGGCTCTAAATTTAACTATTAAAAGTACTTGTTTACTTTACTACTGTTACTGCAAGGAATTAGTATAAACAATAATAGAAAATATTAGCGTATATAATAGGCTTACGTTGCTTCCGGCAAATATTTGTAGCAAACCTGCTGATGTAAAAAATCAAAATTTCGGTTACGTACGGTATTACATGATTACTTAATGATGGTAATAATTATCATTAAATGGTAACTTACCCCAGCCTTAAAAATGCTAAAAAATTCGGTTCAGTAGGCTTTAAGCACATAGTCACTTCCGGTGCAGTCGTCCGCAAGGTATAATATAAATCCAACTTAGCTTTAACCCGCTCCAAACTGAACTTACACCCTCGTAAAATGGCCACCAACCATTGATCATCTGAAAAACATAATGTAAAAAGTAAAATAAAGTAATAGCCCATATATGACCAACTGGGCAGGCAAAGGCCTCCTCTGTAGGGAGGAGATTAGGGCTTAGTCCATCACGTGAACCCACTGCGAATCGACAGACTTACATATCTTCGAAAATCTTTTTTTATCATTTTGAAATTTATTCACGATGTATGCTTTCACTGCTGAGCATGCGACATAAATATAATGTGTACAATACAAATGTCTCTAATTAGTTAATTTACGGAACGCGAAAACCCAGGCATATACAATATATCTAAATATAGTACAATCGTAAAATAGGAAAATGCCAAATGGGTACTTAAATCAAAAACATCGAACAAACATCGAAAATAATAAGAATAAATACCCGTTCTTGCTTTCAGATGCGTTTGCTTCAATATCCATTCCTTTAATATCCTGACATCTTCAGGTGTTTGCTTGGGGTTCTCGTTCAATTCAGCTTTGGCTATTTTAGCCAATTCGGGACTCAGTTCTCGAAACATCGGAATATTCTGAAGATTTGAAATCAAGTTTATCAAGGGTGCGTGGATGACAATGCCCGATTACTCGTAACACAGATACTATACCGAGATATAAGATAAGGTAAAACAAAGGGTTATTCAACTACGTTTTATAAAATGAAGTATTATTCTGATCTAAAGATTATGAACAGGGCAATACGTCGTACGGCCCTGTATCGACTGGTGCATTATCAACCACAAAAATACCTTATCTATGTCGCTCTTCATGCTTCGATACGTCGCAACGCCTGATGTGTTTGTCGATTATGGTATTTATCGCTTAAATGTATGCAACAAAATCGAAGGTGATGTTTGTAATAAACTAAAAATTATTTGTCATAGCTTTAATCAGTTCATAATTTAAATAATAATTAACATAATACAAAAAAGTGGAAAATTTTAATGTTCAATTTGCTTTAAAATAAATAATCTACATTAAATATTTATGATACATATGTATACATTACATACGTTTATTTTTAAAATGATTAAGTTTTTTGTTTTTGGTAAGGTCAAAAGTAATTATTAATTTATTAAAAACCCAGACCAACGAGATTTTGCATTAATTCATTATTTCTTTTATGTTTTCTTTTATGTTTTCTATTAAACTGCGGTACTTCTAAACTAAAATGTGAGTAAATGTACGTTATGTATTGGTTGTACATTAAGGAAATCACTGGTAGACAGTGTGATCCCTTTGCTGATTATGGATAAAAATGAATAGTCTGTGTAATATATTCAACTGTTGTAGGGCCACACCTCATTTAAAATTGCGTGGTGGAAGTGTTACACTTCTGCGTTTCGTCTATTGAGTGCGGTAACCGATGCCCATTTTATTAAACCATTCTATCCTATCACTTAACATCAGATGAACCGTCTGCTCTCTTGCCATTCCAGTTTTTATTCGTTTTTGATCGTTGGTTTTTTGATCATTCTGGCTCATTTCGTTGACTTTAATTTGTTGTTTACAAATATTTCATATGCAGTTTGTGGACTTATGTTCTTTTGCAATAATTTGTAATATATCGAATCTCGTGTAATTATTTAGGATATCTGTATTAACTGTATTCGCAAACTACAGATCTGTCTGCTCGTCGGGTGTAAGTGGTCAGGCTGGAAACTAAACGCACATTCAGATTAATCTTTTTATTTCTCTTGTTACATATATAATCAGCTATAAGAATTGAATTATTTGGGATTTTTGAAGAGAGTTTATTCTAACGTAAGGAACAAAAAACGTTCTACCAACGACTTAAAGCGTCCTTCGACTTTTCTACTCTTAAACAAAATCTTGGTTCGTTCTCAATTAGAATTTGCTGTTCCAATATGGAATCCCTTCTATGAAAAATACATTTCAAGTTTAGAAATTGTACAAATGTAGTTCTTACGCACCATGCACTTTAAATGTTTTCACGCCAGGTTTTCTTAGAAAAATATGAGTTATTGAGTTTGGAGTGCAGGCGCACTCTTACTATGGCTTTGTTGGTATATGGATTATGTAATTATATATTCGACTGTATGGAACTTATCAACAAGATTGCTTACATTGTACCAAGAAGAGTTAAGGGCGTGTTTGCGAAATCTCGCGGAATCTGCAAAAATAGGGGGTTTTCAGGTACATTTTGCGGCAAAACGAAACGAATATAATGTAAGTAATAATTATCACATATAGATCCCTCCTTCATCTTCAAATGGTAGATAGTTTTTAATCGAAAATTTTGGTTTATAATATTGTAAATGAGAATTTTCGTGACCACTTCACTCAAAATGGACGATATCCTGTTGGGTTTAGGAACATTTTTCTCTTATTTAATAACATATTTTTTTTATTTAAAAATATTTTATGTAAGCACACATGTTCAACTCAAAAAGGTAGCTACATTACGTATCAAAATTGTTGAAATTAGTTTCAGAAAAAAATAAAGATTAAAATCTATTTCTTTCACATTTATATCTTACGCGTGAATCTTAAATGATTGACATAAAGGTTATTTTACTGGTCACTTTTTTGATTTATTCCACAAAAATATTTAAAGAAATATTAGTCGGCGCTCGGCTGCCGTCATGAGTGGTCACTATGTCGCTTATAAACAGCAGCTCAAAAAAAAAAAGATCGCTGTACGAATACAAAATATTTGTCGTAACAAAGTTGATACTTTACACATCATGTTCGGACTTCGGACTACGAACGACAAAAGTAAACTATAATTCACACTTTGTCATATTTTTACTAGAAATTAGTAGGGGTTAAAAATTCATATTTCGTTACGGACTTGATGGAGTGACCTGAAGGTGTACTTCGAGAACTGCTACTGGAACTAACAGACGAGATGAGCTATGTGTGTCGAGTTTGGGCTTGTTTTTTTGTTAGGTATGGTGAGACCTTGCCTTTTGATTTGTTGGAGTGACCTGAAGGTGTACTTCGAGAACTGCTACTGGAACTAACAGACGAGATGAGCTATGTGTGTCGAGTTTGGGCTTGTTTTGTTAGGTATGGTGAGACCTTGCCTTCTGATTTGTTGGAGTGACCTGAAGGTGTACTTCGAGAACTGCTACTGGAACTAACAGACGAGATGAGTTATGTGTGTCGAGTTTGGGCTTGTTTTGTTAGGTATGGTGAGATCTTGCCTTCTGACTTGATGGAGTGACCTGAAGGTGTACTTTGAGAACTGCTACTGGAACTAACAGACGAGATGAGCTATGTGTGTCGAGTTTGGGCTTGTTTTGTTAGGTATGGTGAGACCTTGCCTTCTGACTAGATGGAGTGACCTGAAGGTGTACTTTGAGAACTGCTACTGGAACTAACAGACGAGATGAGCTATGTGTGTCGAGCTTGGGCTTGTTTTATTAGGTATGGTGAGACCTTGCCTTCTGATTTGTTGGAGTGACCTGAAGGTGTACTTCGAGAACTGCTACTGGAACTAACAGACGAGATGAGCTATGTGTGTCGAGTTTGGGCTTGTTTTGCTAGGTATGGTGAGACCTTGCCTTCTGATTTGTTGGAGTGACCTGAAGGTGTGTACTTCAAGAACTGCTACTGGAACTAACAGACGAGATGAGTTATGTGTGTCGAGTTTGGGCTTGTTTTGTTAGGTATGGTGAGATCTTGCCTTCTGACTTGATGGAGTGACCTGAAGGTGTACTTTGAGAACTGCTACTGGAACTAACAGACGAGATGAGCTATGTGTGTCGAGTTTGGGCTTGTTTTGTTAGGTATGGTGAGACCTTGCCTTCTGACTTGATGGAGTGACCTGAAGGTGTACTTTGAGAACTGCTACTGGAACTAACAGACGAGATGAGCTATGTGTGTCGAGTTTGGGCTTGTTTTGTTAGGTATGGTAAGACCTTGCCTTCTGACTAGATGGAGTGACCTGAAGGTGTACTTTGAGAACTGCTACTGGAACTGGAACTAACAGACGAGATGAGCTATGTGTGTCGAATTTGGGCTTGTTTTATTAGGTATGGTGAGACCTTGCCTTCTGACTAGATGGAGTGACCTGAAGGTGTACTTCGAGAACTGCTACTGGAACTAACAGACGAGATGAGCTATGTGTGTCGAGTTTGGGCTTGTTTTGTGAGTTTTTTTGAGACCTTACCTTTGTAATTGATGTATTGGCATGAACGTGTAAGAATACATTAAAAAAGGTATTTAAAAATATGGAACTACGTATTCTACATCAATTCTGTGTATAAATATTTGTGAAACATGTTAATATAAAAAAAAATTGAAATTTAGATTATAATTATGAGTCAATAGAGTATAAATATAAGTCAAAGTAAATCACAAGTCAAAGTAATGAATTTTTAATATAAACATTCTACATTACTTAGACATGTTTAAATATTTTAAATGTCTAATTTGACAGTGTACAGATTTTAGAATTTTCGTTTAAATTTAAATACAGGGAGGCCTATGAACCTATCTGGTATTTTATTATAAATTCTTATTTCCATGCAGCCAAATGTTGGCCAAAAGTACACCACATGTAGAAAAGTTGTATGGATAATTAAAAATACAAGTAATACAAAACAAATTTGCACACTTGCAAATTGTAAGATTAGGCATGTCTAAAAGGTCATTTTTTTGTATGTTTCAATGAATAGGTGTAATAAACATGTATTTCAAAAGTTTCGAACGACAGCTATGTGGCAAACTTTTTGTTTCACGTTTATGACCCCATTTATCGTTTATTGTTTTGTCGTGTTTCGCACTGATCAACTTTTATGATCATGGATTCTGCCTAAAATAATACTTAATTTAAAATAAGTAAGAACGTCTTTAAAATAGGCAAAACACGAAAAAAAAAATAGTTATGTAAAAATGTAGTGGGTCTCAACTTAAATTATCAAAGACTTATTTTTATGGCACAGTTATCACATACAACATTTATACCTCTTATAACTCAATTGTTGTTTCAGATGCCAAAGCCTAAAACGATAAAATTTTAGCAGGCTACTACTTCGATATAGATAACAAAAATAATTAAATGATAGAGAACTATAAAGAAAAATCACAAAGATCCGACACAGAGCACCCCGACTCCGTGTGGTCTTCCCAATCCCTAGCGTGAACATCAAAAGGCGGAGCCAGAACCTCGTGTCGGAGGTATAAATTGGCCTCGCGGGCTTGCTCCACCCAGGATCGACATAGCGACAGTTCTGCGAAGAGCATGGAAGAGTCAAATTAAAAATGAAACAATGTTTTTTTAAGCTATTGCACAGCTTTTATCGCGGGCTTTGAGCGCGGCGAACGAATCAATAAATTCCGTAACGAAAATAAAACCTAACACCACCCACTCCGCCTACCACGCAAGAGGAAAGATTTGATTGTTTTTATGCATTGAATAGGCTCCTAAACCACTGAACAGATTTGAAAATTTCTTTCACTGTCTTGAAGCTACATTATCCCCGGATGACATAGGATATATTAAATTTTCAAAAAACTAGGAATCCTTACTAAAACTTGAATAATGTAAACCAAAGTGTACAAAAATTACCTAAAATATTGTTTGCATCGCGTGCGCTGCTAAAACTATTGATAATTGTATAAAATAATGTACTACGAATTTGCAGAACACATCATTATTTATAAAAAGTGTTGCGACAGTATATGTCTAACTATTATAGTTATGCCACAATAAGTATTCTTTTACTTTAAAATTTTGATTGTAATGCCGCCGCTAGAAAAGGCTCTTTATTTGTATCTTGGTATTAATTCTTATAAAAAT